GTTGCTGCTGCTGCTGCTGCTGTGTGTTGCTGCTGCTGCTGCTGCTGCTGCTGCGGTCGCTGGCCCTGCTGCTGCTGCTGAGCAAGTTGGTGGGGTTGCTGGCCCTGTTGAGGATTTTGTGGCTGACCCTGTTGCTGCCCTGCTGCTGTTGCTGCTGCTGTTGCTGTTGCTGTTGCTGCTGTAGTCGTTGCTGTTGTTGCTGTTGGGCTAATTGGCTACGATTCGTCCACCAATGTTGAAATTGCGACTTTTGCAAATGAGTAAGGGCAGCCTTGGCTTGTGGCGCAATATTGTTGGTCGAATTAACCCACATCTTGAGGTCGCGCCATTTCTTGACTTCAGGTGGTAAGTTGACGAGGATCGTTTGACGGACCTGCGGCGGAACGTCCATGTTGTCCATAACGGTTTGCATTTGAGGATTTGCGCCGTGGGTGGCCCCTGGCACTTGGGCAGGGCCGCCGTTCGGGCCGGCGGTGTTGGGCTGCTGCTGCGGCTGCATGCCTCCTTGGAGAGCTGTGCCAGCTAGGTTCTGGTTCATTTGACCTTGCTGTTGCAAGTGAGCTGCAGTCATTTGAGTGGCACTCATTTGAGTGGCACGCTGTCGCTGTTGATGTTGTTGGCCGGCCCACCTTCGTACCATGTCGAAGATCTTATCATCTGACATCTGGTTCAGATGATGTTGCTGCTCCGGGGTCAGAGTGCCAGCCATGGTCATTACCATGGTTTGCAAACCCGAATTCTGCGGAAACCGCTGACTGAGCGGCAGGCTGCCAAAAGGCATGTTCCCATGCCGAGCACCTTGGGGTCCCATGGGATTCACACCATTGGGCCCACGGTTCGCGGCAGGATTCATGGCAGGATTCATGACAGGATTCATGGCAGGATTCATGGCAGGACTTTGATTTTGGTCCATGCCGCCACCCTGCTGGCTGTGCATCTGCTTCATCTGGACAGCCTGCGCCTGCTGTGAGGCCTGATTCAACTTCATCTGCTGCTGACCTGGCTGATGACCTTGGCGAGGTGTCTGGTTCTGGCCCTGGTTGACCATGGCTGGATTCCCCGGTTGGGGCGTGGCATTTCTAGTGGTACCGCTAGCAGGAACGACCATCTGACCGGCTTGTTGAGCAATGAGGCCGCTCATTTGCTGGTCCTTGATGCTCTCCATGCTGGGGGCGAACTGGGAGAAGTCGTGACCGGCGGGCTGGCCATTGGGCATCATGTTGGCGCGCTGTTGACTATTCTGCTGCTGCATCATGGCGGCCGGCTGAGGCATCATGTTGGCGGCGACGGCAGCCTGCTGGGCTCTGCTAAGGGCGGCTTGCTTTGAGAGGGCCTGAAAGGCTTGGCTTTGGAAGACTAGCATAGAAGGGTCGCGGCCGTGGGCAATAATATCGGCATTCTGCTGGGGAGTCATTTTATTGCGGACCTGGTTGCGGAACTGGTTCTTGGTGTTTTCTGACGCCTGATTAAAGAGTTTTCCGGCAAGCTGGTTGACCTTTTCGCGATCAGCGGGGGGTAGGCGGGCGAGTTCGTTGGTGATGCCTGGTGGGCGCTGGCCAAGTGCACCAGGGCCCATGGTAAATTGTTGAGCTGGGCCGGGCATACCCCGGCCCGCCTGAGTAGCCATGCCCATGCTGGCAGCCATCTGCTGCTGCTGTTGCTGCTGCAACTGGAGCATCTGTTGTTGATTGGGCATTTGCTGGCCCTGCATGCCTTGGTTCATGCCAGGGAAGCCCTGCTGGGGACCAAAACCTCGATTCATCTGCTGCTGCATGTTGAGGGTCGCTTGGGCTTGGGCTTGGGCGCTGGCATTGAGGCCATTTTGCAGGTTGCTGCTGTTTTCTTGGCGCTTCTTGAAGAAATCCATAATCTTGCCCTTTATTACGCCGAAGTATTGTTCCTGGGATCAAGGTCAGCAGGGGGTGTGGTAAAAATGACGGCGGTGTGGGCTACCTTGGATGCACAACTTGAGAAGGCGTTAATTTCAAAGACTACGGACATCTCCAACGCGCGTCCTGGATCTATGTAGGAGCCAAGTGTGACATTGGAAAAGCTAAGAGAAGGGTTAGTTTAGGTCAAAGATGACAGAAGGCAGGCGCAATAATGCGAGGCTGCGCATCTTTGAAAGCGACTTACAGTTCCAGAGTCTTTCCAACGCGATCATTCAGGGAGACGTCGACGTGCCAGTCTGCCGAGGGGACCTGGGTGCTTTTGAGTCGAGCAACGATGGTCTGACCGTATTGGTTGGAGTTGGTGCGATGGTGCTGCTGCATCTGTTGCTGGGACATTATATGGCCAGCGGCAGCCATTTGCTGCATATTGGCGGCCATTGCCGCGGTGACTGATGGGAGAAGAACTCAATAGGCAGGACGGGCAGAGTATTGGAATCGAATCTGGAGTGAAATATATGGGGAAGGGTCGCCAAGACGCTGATGGGAGGAGCGTGTTGCGCGCGGAGTTCTAGGTGGTAGTCGGAGAGGCGATGGACAACAAGAAAGTTGGACCAAGGGTCAAGTTCCAACGAGATTGGTTGAGTGGACTTTGCGGTGGCTAAATTGGTAAAGTTTGCAAGCCTCCGAGCCGGAGTGATGGCGGAGTCGAGGCTACGGACAGGCGTAAGGTAGCATGTAGATTCGAGTACCAGGGTCGCGCGGGTCTTGTAGCCACGGGTTGAGCGTTAGATGAGGGGATGCGGTTCGATGGGAAAGCGTGGATGATGGCGGCGGATGAAAGCGTACGATGAAGAGCGATGAGGTAGGTGTAGGCGGGCGTGGCGCGTGCGTGGTATCGTGAAGAAGTCGGTCGAGGAAGAATGGCTATGCAGTGCTTGGGTTCCAGGTAAGAAACGGCGCGCGAGGTAGCGCGGGAATTGAGGGCGCAGGGCGCGCAGCGATTACGACGACGAGGGAAAAAGATGTAATGGTCGAGTATCGGAGTCGAAAGGGCCGCGAGGGTATCTGAAATGGCGAAGGATGTGGGCGGTGGAAGAGGGTTTTCGTTTAACGTGCACAGCGGCGGGCTGGGGGAGAAATTGGCGTAGCCGGAGGGAATCGTAAGAGCGGCAACAAGTCAAGCCGGCGCGTGGAAAGAAGAGAATTAAACGAAAAAGCCAACGAGCACCGGGACAAAAAAAAAAGTAAGAAGAAAAAAAGAAGAGTTGCTTCGAGGATGAAGAGACGGGGGCGGGAGGGGGTGAGAGGTGGTGATGTGAAGAAAGGAAGAGAAGGTGGTTTGCTGGGCACAGGGCGGAGAAGAAAGAGAGGTGTAGGTATAGGTAAGTATTTGTCGGGTATAGATAGGTAAGACAAGGTACCTGTGGTGAGAGTGAGTGGGTGAAGGTGGGCGGGAGGGTGGGAGTGGAGGAACTAGTAATCTGCAGAAAAGAGTACAGTAGGTCGGTAGGCGGGCCAAGCCAAGGCGGTGGTGAGAGTCCAAGGGAAGGGACGAGAGGCCATGAGATGATATAGAGAAGAGAAGCGAAGTGAGGTAACCTGGTGAGAGGAAGGCGAGAGAGGGCGAGAAAGAGAGAGGAAGAGGGCAGAGAGTGAGAGAGACTGAGGGACTGAGAGGGTGGTGTGACGGGGTCGGGCCAGACTGGGCTACCTACTACAGGTACTTACCTGGGTACCTACCTGGTAGTACCCAACTACCTACCTGACTGGACTGCATGGATGGGTTGGTACCAAGGTAGGTACTGGCTGGTACCTACCTACCTTCACTGCGCTGGCCTGGTAAATTATTGGCGACACGACCGCCAGATGGTACCTAGGTGGGCCGGCCTAGGGAAGGGGGGGGTGCCGCCTTGGAATAACAATGGACTTGGTCTGTATGGACGTGCGCCCGGTAGAATGAAGCGCGCGGATGATGAATGATGAATGATGATTTACATTGGCATGTATACGATAATCATATTATCATGGAGCTTTGCTCCTGCGGCCAAGACGATATAACTACTGGCAGACGGACATGAAGCGCTTCATCCTCTTGACAGACGCCAGCCAGCACCCTTCCATCCATCACGACACTAGCGTCCCCAAGGGCCCAGGCGGGAAGCACGAATTAAGGTTCTTGGTGGAGCCTGGCCTTTTTTTTTTTTTTCCCCAGCACACACACACACAGAGTCACAGTGCACACTGACCTGGGCCACGCGCGTGATTGGGCACGTCTGCAGCGTGCTGCTGGCTGGTCTGGTTGCTGGTGGGAGCGAAGGAGCTGGACGGCGAATAGTAGCAGCAGCGCAAATAAATACAGAGCGCACGCAGTCTGACATGATGGTTCTTCTCTTTATTGCGGGAACTGGCGGTGGTTTTTCTCGTTATTTTCATGGCAGGAATTCAAGGATGAAACGACCAGCTCGGCCAAGTACACGGCACAACATACGTACCTCCTAACAGGTTAGTAGGTAGTAGGAGGTACAGTGGTGTAGGTTAGTACCGAGTAGCGCTGGCACCTTGACCAGCAACTGTCATACCATATTTGCATATTTGCGTATTTGCGTATTTGCGTATTTGCGTATTTGCCCATTCGCCAACTACAATTCGTAAAATCGTCGGCCTTGATCAAGATTTTCCCCTCTACCCTCCCTCCCACTCCCGCTCCCGTCATCCCACCTCAGCGGCTCTTTTCCTCCATGCCGCGATATCTGGTTTGCTGTACATACCTAGGTAGGTACATTAGTAGTGGTGGTGGGGAGCGTAGCCTCCTGCCCCCCATATCTCCTCCCACCTCTCCCACCTCTCCCTCCACGCTTCTTCCATCCTTCTGCCATCTTGCTCGTCCCTGCACAAAAATCCTCGCAAATCCGGGCCTGCTTCACATTCCCGCTAAACCCCTTCCCGACATCCTCTGACTTGTTGCACTGGGGCGGTTCCCCCCTGCTGCCCTCTGCCGACGCTAGCAGCCAAAGCAACCGCTGCTAGGCTTGCAAGCTTGGTACTTAGCGTGCTTGACCCAGTTACTGCCTGCGCCAGTCCGCCCAGCGTCGATGCACCAACCCACCCATCATGTACCAGCACCACAACAAACACGCGGCCTGGGTACTTCAGGTACCCGGCCTGCGGGACACTGATGAATGATGCTGCCCTCCACCCGGGCCCTTCCTTGTCGCCATGACGGCAATAATCACCACATTATACTCGATTCATCGCCTCATTCATCATGGCAAGTATCACAAGTAATCCTCAAGAGCCTTCATCCTCACCTCACTCGCTCTACATTGCCCTCGATTTTTCTCTTCTCTTCCCGCTTCCCGTCTGTCCTCGCGCCTCGTCTGCGTCCTCGCCTCGTCGCACACTCCCGCCTGAAACGCCTCTGACGCACATGCCAAAATACCATCGCCACCCACTCACCACTACCACTACCAGCAATAAGACAAAACACCAACAAACCACCAGTTATTCCCCCGCCCACCATCGCCAAGAGGGACTCGACGTTTAACCATCAACTATTACAGCCTGCACAAAACATGAACCATGCCCATCCTTACCCGTACATTCTCCGCCTCCTCTCTCCGCCTCCTCGTCGTCGTCTTCCTCCTCCTCCTCCTCCTCCTCCTCCGCCCTCTCTCCAGTTACACCCGGTCCGCGCTCTCTTGTTTCCGCGATATGCTGCTTTGCGGGTACTGCCAGCAACTCAACCTGTGTACGGAGTATAATGCACCACACCAGAAACCAGAAACCTCTCAAGTGCTGCTTCCATCCGTCCTCCATTCATCCTCCATCCATCCATTCACACCCTGCCCATGCATCGCGGCGCCTGATGAGTACCGAGCCGCTTTTTGCTGCGTCCTTGCATCTAGATGGCCCTCTTTTCCTCTGCTGCCTTGTTGCCCTGCTTTTTCTCATTATTATATCGCAGTACCCATCCATATACACTCTTTCTTAACCATCTCGTATGCAATCAGATTCACCAGAAAAGGAGCGCCCACGGCCAAACTCATCTCCCACCGGCTTTGCCCGTACATACCAAGCTCACGAAGCCACCTATTTTCGTCCGTGGTAACGCACAGCCAGGGATGTGCCCATGATCCTGGTCCCCGACTCCCCATGGCCGTCCAATGTGGTGGGGTGAGGCCACCACCTCCCCTCAAACCCAAGGGAAGATCTCGTCACACAAACGCACCTTTCACTCGACTCATCAACTAAATGAGACAGGAAACAGTCCATGTTCGGCTACCGCAGCGGATCGGCTTTTTTTCTTCGCCATCGACATGCAGACAGTTGGATCGTCGCATTATCATGGCCACCCTCACAGACAGTGACAGTGACTGTTCGTCTCAATCTCCCTTCCAAATCTGCCTTTTAATTAGTTCATACGCTCCTCACCGATGGGTGGGTGTTGAATAGCAACACACGACGATGTTTTCTCTGGGACCCTGTCCGACTGGCAACCACCCTGGTCCGTAGTGCCGTTGTACCATATCAGCAACTAGTAACTACGGACCCTGCCCACCGTGGGCCAAATATGTTTGATTTCTCGCTTCTGCGGCCTTGATGGATGTATGTCCCTGTTTCGCACAAGATCTGCCAGATGCAGAGCGTGGCGACAGGAATTTCATTGCACAATGACCGTCTGTCTGGTGACCAAGATGGACTGCGCGCTAATACTTGCTAGGTCGCAAAGCACCATTTCCAAGTAGTAACTGGCAAGCAATAACCCCCACCAGCCAGGCAGCCTTGCCCAAGAACCCGTGCCTTTGGTCCTGCGCCAGAGACATGGCGGTTTCCATGGCGGATTCGAGCATGGGACCCTGGCTCGTGGAGCTGCTAGTAAAAGGTGCTGGGTGGCGCCTCTGAAAAATTGGCATCGTCGGGCAATATGCCATATGAATGAGCCAAGTCAACTTTGGTCGCGTGTTTTGTTTGTTGGAAAGTCTGCAGAGTCGAAAGGAACAAACTGTAACTATCCTTGAGACGTGCTGGTGCAAACTTTGGCGACGTCTGCACAAGTCGGTCATGGTACGGATCACGCACTGGGAGTCGATGCATGTAAGCGCAGCAAAAGAGTGCGCAGCAAAAAGAGTCAATATGACATGTCGGTCTGTAGGCTCTTTTCCGTTGCAGACTTCGCACCGTATCAACTTCTTCTGCAGCCCTCACTCTTCCGGGGGGCGGCTCGTGTCACGATGCAGGCCATTTGTGCACCAACAAGGAAGGGCACACCACCACGACTGTTTCTATCGCGTTTTGTAAGACAAGCTAGAAGCGCCGTTGTTGGCAAGGCAGAAGAAACCAATCCTGCCGCGAGAGGAAATAGTTGGCTCTGTTCCCAATTACCCTGGAGTACTCTATACTCGTCGTCGTCCGCACCTGGTCCACACAGAAATCTGTAATTACTGGTAATAATTCGTAGACGATTAATCCGTAATTTTGTAATTTGTACAAACTCGGCCATCCAGGCTTGTCAACTGTCTACAGGGGCACAAGCCACTGCCCACCCCATTCTTCATCTCAGCAACTGGGATGAGAAGCGCAGGGGGGGTGCCAGCATCCCGACGCACTTTGAAACCGGCGAAAAGCACAACCTCATTTTCTTTTGTTTCTGTTTTTTTTTTTTCAGTAGTTTTTTTATTCTTCCTTCATGCAAATTAGTTGCGTTTTTCCCCCCTCTGCTGATGCTCAAGCCATAACGGTCCCTCTTCGAGACGTTCCGGCTTCACCAACCATCTACACAGAAGCATCAACATCTCGGCAACGGGCGGAACTTTTCTCTCTTTGTATATATTGTATTCCCCCCCCAAGGAGAAAATCTCAGCTGGGCAACACCCCCCCCAGTCCCCCCGGCCTATCAATATCGGGCTTAGCGTCGACGCCTACGCCACGTTGGACGGCCCAGAAATGCGATTTTGGCTTGCAATAGCCTCAGACTCACTCCCCCTGCAAGCCACGAAAATACCCCCGTTTTTTCCTTTTTTTTCCTTTTTTCCCTTTCTTCTTCTTTCCCTAGTTGGCCTTTTTCTCTGAGATGACCATGGATCACACTGTATTCTTCGTTGACTAGTTAGTACGGCTCAATATGCACGACAGACAAAGAGAAGCACCTGTTTTTTGTTCTTTTGGAAGCGGCGCCCATCCAGTAAACTAGGCAACTACAGGACAGGAAAGAGACAGAGAGGTTTGCTTTCTTTGTTATTTGCGGTCCGGCGGCGCCACCTTGACTCCGCGCAGACTCCGTACGTGGCGATTTGCTAGGCACTCACTCACACAGCATTGTGTCCATCTTGTATTACCCTCCTCGCCCCGGCACGGCTCGACTTTTTTTGATTCTCCAAATCAAGATCAACGCCATGGACGCAAATCCCTCGTATAGCACGCTCATGCAGCATACGAACCCGCCTTTTCTCTGCATTCGGACTCGCACTGGGAACCTCTCTGTGAAGCTGAGCGCGGCTGAGCATGACCGACGGGCTGTTGGCGCGCCAGCACCGCCGTTTGATACGCCTTATCCGGCTCACCGTGCCCAGCAAGGCTTGTCAACAGAAAGGCGGTCCAGCTGAGCTTACATACATACGTTGCTGTCAAACCATCTCTGCGGCCAGCTGAAAACAAGGTTGTTGGCGGCCTCTATCGACTCGGGCGTCGTCGCGTCTCTCTTCTTCCTCGTCGTACTTGTAGTTGCATTTTCATATATGCCATGAAGTTGCCAGTACAGAGTAGTAGTCCTCCGGATACATAGGACCGCCATCCAGGTCCCAACCCTCCAGGTTACCCCGAACCCTCACCTCCCAGCCCGTGTCAGGGCCGCACCCACCCCGTCCCATTCTCTCGCCTCGTCCCTGGACATAACTACATACCGACCCTGCGTCCCCTGTCTGCGATCTATGTCCTTGCCACCAGCAATGCGCCGTGATTGGACAAGACGGCGGACGGTTCTTTTGAACCGGCGAGCCGGGAACGTTTTGGAATGAACCGTCCCACGCAAAAGAGGCGGCAAATCGCCTCTTTTTTTTCTTCCAGGAGCCCAGCCCATGCTTTCTGTTGCCCTTTTCTTTTCCTTCCCTCCTTCCCCCACCCGGCAAGGCCGGGCGACCTGCAGGTGGTGTGTGCATCACATAATAACTACCTGGTACCCAAACTTTTTCTCAGTCCTTGTCTCGTGTTTATTTCGTCTCTTGTCGTTCCTTTACATCAGTAACTGTAAAAAACGTAAAAAAAACTCAAACCGACCAGCCAACATGACACCATGCACCCATTCATGCAAAGAAAGATGGGATGCGCGCGTCCTTGTGCGTTGCCCGTACCTGGCGGGAGCAACCATTCTCTGTTTCACGTCGAGCGCTCGACGGTGAAACAAAGCTGGAGCGACTGAAACGTCAGCACTGTCTCGTTTACTTGCATTGTGTCTATTTTTGTTGTTAGTGCTGGCGCTCGGTCGTTTTGCCTCTTTGCAGCCGTTGGCAAGCTAGTTAGTTAGCCGCGGTCTACCAAGAGATGCTCAAAATCAGCAGTAGAAGAGGATAACTAGTCTTCTCTTAGAGGGCGGTTTTGAGAGGAAGGGAAACCTCGACCATTGGGTCGGTCACCAAGGAAGCGGATAGCCGTGTAACCACACACACGCTTTCATCACAACCCTTTGTCTATCCGTTTCCCACACTTGGCGCATGGCCGCCGCCGCTTCATAGGCCCATCTCTGCAGAAACCCCAATTCAATCTCAAGTAGCACACAAACGGCCCATCGTATTCCCTTTCCTCGTCACGGTCGGTGGGGGGGAGTGAGTTCCCAACCTGGTCGCCCAATTGTCGTCGCCTTTGGGGCGGGACTTGGGGGCAACTCTGGGGTTTTCCTCGTCTTGCACTTCTCTCAGTAACAACCAACTAGTTAGCTCCCGCAATGGAACCTGCCGCGCCGATCCACGCCCCCGAAGGGGAAGGAAACCAGAACTGCGGCCAGGAAGACGCGGGTCCAGGGAATCAAGTCCCCTCCTTGGTGGTGGTGGCACAAGGCTCCCACAATACGAAATAGTGTCTCCAGGTCTGGCAAGAGGACATGTATAGCTCGTTGATTTTATTTGGGCGCCGGCTGGAGTGTTGGGCAATCCCCCACACACTCATTCTTCGACAGGACTTGTCCTATAGTTAATACTCTGCAAGTTGCTTAATACATGCGACATGCAGCCTCAGGGGCAAAAGCCATCGACCATACAGAAGCCAAGCGGAGAAAAAGGCTCTTTGTTCGGGAGGGAGGGGGCGCACCTTGTCCACAACCCGTCCAAGTCGTCGGCGAGCAAAGACACAAGTTGACGTGCATACACCACTGTACATGCAGCATGTTCTTCACGCTGAACTGAACCTTGTTACCGGCTCTCGCGTAATATTGCAGCGTGTCGATCTGCTCATCCAAGTGGCATCAAGTCGATGGAGGCTTGCCAGTTACCAGACTGACGGCTTGGGGTTTCAACAAGAGGGAAAAACCTGTCGCCTGGTGGGGGAGATGGCGGCTTCAGGTATTAACTAATAATACTGTGTAACTGGTTCAAATCTCTTGCTCGTCGCACCACCCGCTGAACCTTGTCGATGCCCGATTAAGTCCCTTGCTGTTTGCGCCTTTTCAACCAAACCCATGCCGAAAAAACACCAGGGTTGCGTCACGCGCATGGCCCCATGTCCGATCTGTAATACGGCGTCAAAGTTGCCATGTTTCTAAGAGTAATCTGTACATGTATCGCGTGACGTTGGTCCTACATAGACGTTGTCGGCCGTCTGGTGAGGACTTCGTCCGGTCTCTTGGCTACACGTGCATTGATTCAGGCACCGCGGCGCGTTGCGCGCAGTAATCACCGACCGTCGAGGGGAAGGGGAGGGGGGTTAGCGAGGAAGCAGGGGTTCTCTTCATTATGCCACAAGCCAAAATAAAATGAGCTACAAACCTGCATTGCAGTAACCTTTGGGAGCGACAAACCCCGCCGTGTCGACGTTTTCTTTTTATGCATATCCGCAACGTCCCCGGTGCAGCAGCAACATGCTTAAAAAGACGAAAAGCCGGAAATGCATAAAACGGTCCTTGGGGCGTCAACTAGTCAGTTCCTCAGTTCGAGGTCGCCGTTCTCTCCATCATGGAGGGCGGGCAGACCAGAGACAGAGACAACCTCGGGCCAATTGGGGGTGTGACCATGACGCCGCCCGCCCGCCACAGACCCAAGCAGTGTCTTGTCGACCCAAGCAAGAAAAAGAGCCCAGTTGTCATGGTCGCACAAGCATGCGGCCCTGGCGCGAGTCTTGTTGAAGATGCTGCAGAGTGGCGCCGCGTGATGGTGAGAAGTGCACAACCTCGATGGACTTGTTGTGTCACGGGCCTGTAGACCATAGTTACCACCATGTCCATAGGCCTGGCCAAGATGAGATATTTTCTCTTTTTTTCTTCTTTTGTTTTGGCACAATCTGGGCTGGTTTCATCTATATATTCTCTCAAGAGATCTGAGAAAACCAAGCAAGTATACCCGCATCTATCCATCACCGTTGTGAACTGGGTGTGGGCAAGAATAAAACAAGGACCGGCTGTCAGGCAAGTGACACAACGAATCAGTAGATGCCGAGACGCTCAATCTTACAGCCATGGTAGTTGCTCTGTGGCACTCATCTCCTCGCCTGTCCACCATCGATCAGCAAGCCCTCTTCCCGTACAGATCATCATTGGTTGATACATCCCAAATTGTAGATTCTTCAATATAAACAGTATAGTACACGTATAAAAAAAGCACAGGAGTTGCGAAGCCCCGGGCATCTAAATTACATCCTTCACATCCCACATGTCAACACCTCATTGTCGTTTCAAAGAATCCCAGCAGGTAAACAAAAGAACAAGGCGTATATATCCCAGCAGGTAAACAAAATAATAAAGTGTAATCCCCGGCACTCGGTACATTACGAGTAATTTGAAATAATCCATCTCTGCTTTTTGACCCGCACAACTCCCATCTTAAGATAATCACAAAAGGAAACCGACGTGGCTGCTCCGAGTGTGAAGGCAATTAGCCAGCCACGGCCTGACCAATGGCACCGCCAATCTCGCCAAATAAGACGCCCTTGAAGACATTTTCGCCCATCTGCTGCGTCCATGCGCCGGCATCACGCAACCGAGCCTTCCAAGCGTGCTGCTGTGCTTCTGCCAGGTCCTCCCACGACTTGCCCGGCCCGTGGACCTGCTCGTCGTGCGTCTCGACTTGGAAACCCGCGGCAGTGGTGCCACCTGCGGCCTCGCCAGCGGCAGGCGCGAGCGTCTCGGCAACCAAGACGACAATGTCGGTGGGCACCGGCCCGTCGCCGGCAATATTGGCAAGAAAGTCGTCCCGCAGCAGCGATGCGCTGTCCACCTCGGCGACCACCGGCGCGGCGTGGTGCCGCATCAAAGGCGGTGGCGCGACAATGGGCGTGTTGGCCGGCGTCGAGGCACTCGAGAAGAAGCGCTGCGGTTTGAGGATCGGATAGCCCGTGCCCATCATCTCGAAGATGCACTGGCCGATGAGCCCGAGAAGGAGCACCACAAATGAAAAGAGCGTAATGGCGGTCCTGGCCGTCGTTGGCTGTCTGGCCTCCAGCTGGGTGACGTAGCGGACGGGTAGCGGGGGCGCATTCTTGTTCCGCGGCGTCTTGTCGATGAATTGTTTGAGGGGGATGCTCTGCAGCGCAATCGACTTGGACATTGTGACGCTCACGAGTTTGAGGTGTTGCGTCTCCCCTGCCACCGCCTTTTTCGTGGGCGTGCTAAACGTGGACAGCGCCATGCCCGTAATTTCGCTGTTACCGTGGACGCCCTGGAGCGTTGTCAGAGGGTGCAGCTTGGTGAGCAGGTTGATGGCCGGTGATGCGACGTGCGTGAGCGACAGGAGAGAAATGGAAGCGTTTCCGCGCGCCACGGCAATGACAAACTGCGTGTCGCCGAGAGATTCGATGCCTCCCTTGGGGCTCCAGGTCGGGCGCGTCAGACTTGCGAGCGCAAAGGCCGTGGCTTGTGTCCTGCCGTCCAGCTTGGCGGACACGGCCAGGCGCGCCTTTTCCTGCCCTGCCTTGGGGAGGCGAAAGCCGTGGACAACGGCGCCGGTGCGACCAATGTTGGCGACAGTAAGAATAAACTCGGGGCCAAGGAACCGGGCGAAGCGGAACTTGGGCCGGCTGGCTTCATGCTCGGGGACGCTGTAAATGAGATGTGGATCTTCTTGGTCCTTGCCAATCTTGACCAGGAACAATTCGTAGCCGTAGCAGTATGTCAGCAAATGGCTTCCGTCCGCGAGCTGCACAATGTCGACGTCTTCCGCTTCTCTGGGGAGCTCAATCGTCCCACGCGGTTTCAGTGTGTTGCCCTTGCTGCTTGCGACGTCGAAGAGTGCGATCTGAGGGTCCTTGCCATTGGCAGACGCCACTGCGCCGAGGGTCCCGGCGACTCGCAGCAGCCTCTGGTATACAGCCGAGGCCGAGTCGATAATGAGCGGGTGGCGCATGTCCTCCTTGACGGTCGTGTCGGAGCCGGTGCCTCGAATCGAAATGCTGCGCAGGTGCTTATTGTTTCCCTTGAGAACCTCATCCTGATGCGAATTGACGCCAGCAAGAACGTTGATCGTCTTCCCTTTGCGCCCGGCGAATGCAAGGGACATGACACTATCTTCGGTGCGCGGTAGATCGAGCTCCCCCACGATGCGCAGGTCGTCGACGCCCGAGGTTTCCAAGACGGTCTAGAGCGGCGCGCACAAGCAAGTCAGCAAGCTGGTCGCCGGTGTGCGAGACTGCGGGGAATAGCGCAATGAACATTGGAAAAGAGATGGCCTTACCAGTTTGTTGGGCACGCCGGAACGATTGGGGCCGCCGCCGCCGCCGGCGACGATGCGCGAATCATCTTCTGGGTCAAAGTCAACAGCGAAGAGAGGGTAGTCGCTCCTCGTATATGTCGTAGCAAATGGTTGAGGCATTGTATGGTGACGTTGAGTGAGCTTTCTTCTCCAAGGATCGGCCTGAAAAAGCGCTCGCGCAAAGCTCTTGCTCCTTTCGCAGCCGTGTATGCTTACTATGCGCTCGGCTCGCTGTCGGCGGAGGATACGCAGTCAGGGAGTATGTGTATCTCGGAGAAGCTCTAGTCGGTATTGGCGGTTCGACGTATGGCGCTGCAGTGGTTGGTGATGATGCGGCTTGCGAAGAGGAGCGACTGAGGGTTGTCGTCCGCGAATCGGGAGACTTGAAGGTCCAGGCCAGATGTTCACAGGACATGTGGGTCGGGCTTCAGGCTTCGAGGAGGAGTCTAGTTAGGCGAAATGTGGCGCGGAGAAGGAAATTTTATAGGCAGCTCAAATAATTCGTATTAGACAATTGTGGCACATTTTAAGTTCAACCATACGTGCTGCCTAATAAATGGCAAGGTTCTGGGTATTAAAAAAAAAAGCATCTCAGCTTGCAAGATTGGGAAGCGACGTTTGGCAAGCAGGAACCATACTGACAGAGAACACTTTGGATTGTGATGCCGAAAAATAAAGACAGGTATACTGAACAACAAAAGTAATAAAAGAGAAACGATGCATTACATTACGATGGTCGGCTTTTTTATCACGTATCATCTAGAGCGCTCGCTTAGCTGGTCAACTTCGTGCATGGCGAACTTACGCGACTAATAACCTTCAGCTGGCTCATATTACCGGGTTTCTTTCTGCAAATATCCAAACAAGCCGCTTCGATGTCGAATTATGCTGCATTTTTCACAAGACAATTTCGGGGCTTATTTCTACAACCGGGACCAGACCGGCATCGCCGTAAGGATCAGGGTCCTTGTTATTGGCACAGCACGAGCCAAAGCACAAAAAGAACGATCGTCGGTCCCTACAGCCGGATCTTAGGAAATCACAATGTCTTTGTAGTAGTGCTGCTCAAGATATAGCTGTCATGGATAGACGTAATGATAAATATCTAGTCATGCTATCTTGTGTTCTTCGTTTTTGAGACTAACCCCAAACCAAGGAAAAGGTTCCATGACAGAGGCAAGCTGATTACAACTACTTTTGATGGTTTTGCGACAAAGGGGACAAAACACAGGGAAACAGGACATATACAGAATCAGCGGCCAGAGCTCGCGTGTATTATCGGACACGCAAGGCAAGACATCAGGGAGGCAGCAGAGATAACTTAAGAAAGGGAAGAGGCAGGGACCAGCGAGGGATAACATAACACCAACTTTAAACAATGTAGCCGTTGGCAGCAACGTTACGCCAACTCCGCACGCCGCTCGATTCTTCCAGCTCCACGCACCACCAGAGCACCTCCTTGGCCTTATCAGGCTGTCCGCTTTCCTCGTAGGCACGGGCGAGCGCAAACCACGCCTCCGATGAGTCCCACGCCGTGCCCAGCCGTGTGAGCCCCGAGAGCAGCGTGTAGGCGCGGTCGCGGGCAGCCAGGCGATCGGACAGTGGCAGGCTTGTCGTCTTGTAGGGCGCAGGGAGGCTGTCACTGCTGTCTCTAGCACGGCTGAAAACGGGAGTCGGTTTCGCGCCCGGAGCCAGAGCCGGCTCGTCCTCAATCGTGGTCAACGGCCCCAAGCCAAGCGCGACAGATGGCAGGGAGCCCGCGGCGGCGCAAGCGGCTTTGCGGGCATGCTCGTGCAGCGCAACACTGGCAGGGTCGGAAGCCACCTCGCTGTTGGTCAGCGCTGGGATGGCGGGTTCGGGAAGAAGCAGCTCGCTGTAGATATCAAGGAGAATATTAGACAAGCCAATGGTTGCGGCGGGGTGGTCGGGATAATGCGTCAGAGCGTTCTCGAATTCGGCCCGGGCTTCAAAAGGCTTGCCTCGGGCAATTGAGAGTAAACCAAGCTATGGAAGGTCAGCAAGTTGCACGAAAAACAAGAGGTCCATGATTTTGACATACCTCCGAGGAAATATCAGCCCACAGAGCCTCGATACTCTTCTTTTCGGCCCAGACGCTAGACCTTGCGGCCCCAGTGACCGAAGGATCGCGACTCGCCTCTGTTTCCAAACCCTGTACTAGTTTTTGCGCCTCTGTAATGGCAGCTTTGCACTCGTCAAGCATATGTGCACGACGGTAGAAGCCGGCAATCATTGTCCAGACCTTGACCAGGACAGCCGTGCGTCTGGACCTCTCCTTGTCCTTGGAGAACTGCACCAGCGGCAGCAGGTGTGATGGTACATGTGTCATTTCCAAAGAGAGTTCTGAAAATTCTGTGCCCTTGGACATGATGGAGCCGCGCGAGTTGATTGAAGAGACTGTCTTTTCGCGTGTGAGGAACGAGGACGACATGGCGACTGGTGGGCCTCTTGGAGTGTTGGGCTGGCTGCCGTCACCGTTGGGCGTGAAGAAGGGTTCGCCGTCAATGTGTGTGCCGTTGGTGGTCGTTTGTCCTCTGCTCTGGCTGCGATTTCTCTTCTTCAGACTGTTGCGTCGAGGGGCGTCACCGGGCCCAAGGCTAGCGCGGCTGGATGTCGGTGGTCGCGGAGTCTCGTCTGTTACCTGAATGGAGGGTGCCACTGTCTGAGAGGTGGGAGGTCTAATAGGGAGTGCCGCGCCCCTATCTCTCAAAGCCTCGTCCGACTGCCTCGACAGCGCCCGCGATTTCTCCTTGGACGCAAAGATGCTGCCGCGCAGACTGCTCCGACCGGACGCCGTCTTGGAACCAGCGTCAGACGGAGGGTGCGTGGCTGGTTGGGTTGAAAGGTTGCCAAACAGACGTGTAAATAGCGAGAGAAGCTCGTAGCTGGCGTTGACTGCTGCATTAGGGCCATCTTGTAGTTCGATGAGGGCCAGTTGCGTCATTTTGACTTCGAGGAGCTCTTCCTTTTCGAAGTCGTCCATCTCATCAACCAGCCCACCTTGCACTTCTGTGGAGATGCTCTTTGCTTCCGCGTCATTGAGATGCTCGCTCTTGAAGTTTTCCGTCTTCCCAAATAGAATAGATGGGTCCTTAAATTGTTCGACGGCGCCATCGCAAGCTCTGTTAGCCATGGCATAGTCCTGACGAGCGCTCAGCAGGAGCGCTAAGAGATGCCACATGGAAATGAGTGATCTCTCTTGCCAATACGGGCCACTGTAGAGCTCATCGTTGATACTGCTTTCATCACGTTTAGTAGACATGAGCGTAGCTCGGACGATCTCGAGGGCTGAAGAGAGTTCTTTGCGTTCGGCAAGGAGCACGCCGAGGGCAAAGATGCTGCGAGTATCCTTTGACCTGCCGTATTCAGAAGAAAGCGACTTCCGTAGACAGCGAATAGCCTTTGACTGAATCTCAGTTCGGGACGCTGCTTCGTAAGTTGAGCGAGACCAATGAGCATGGGACAAGCCGATAGCTTGCCAAGCAAGCGCAATGACGCGGGGTGGGACGAAACTGCTGGATTCGGTGCCAGACTGGTTCTGAGATAGTCTGGCAAGCCAGTCTTCGAGCTCAGCACCAAGCTGGCGAGCCTTTTCTGCAGATTTGTGGTGGCCGTAGCGGCAAAGGGTCATGATAGCCTGAGAAATCGTTTCCAAAACAGTAGCATCGCTGTCCAAGCTAGGCTCGGGAATGCCGGTTTTGGCGACTCGGGCTTTCCCCTTGTTTACGATTTCAAGATATGAGTCTAGCGCTTTGAAGGCAAGGTCGAATTCAGCGACGGCGACGTGGGCGCTGAATAGTGATCGAAGAATGAGTGTAGAATGATAGGTTTTCGTTGCAGCGCTGTACAATGTTTCGAGGACGCCGTGGGTGATGCCGGCACGACCGCTCTGGCCAAGGTCCCCTTCGCTCCAGCCACGGCCACAGAGAATAGCCCAATTGTCCATAACTTGCTTCACAAACTGCTCTACCTCGGCACGATGTTCGTCAGCTCGAGGAAATGTCGTCTCAGACAGGAGAAGCTTTTCGTAGGAGGCCTCAACGCGCTTGAGCTCCATTCGTAGTTGAGTCCGAGCAGGTGTGTCGGCGGAGACGTTACCAAGGTTGGCAGGAGGAAATGTGTCGTCATTGAGAAGATGCTTGGAGAGCCCCTGGTAGTACTCGTTCCATATTGAGCGTCGGGGGACGGATGTGGCGGAGCCCTTGAAGCCAAAGCCACCGGTGACGGGAGCCGACATGGCCTCCCAGTATCGAGCCCAGGCGCGGAAGCAAGAAATGGAGTTTTGCTGGCCGAATGTGACGTCTCCTTGGCGGATCGATTCACTCGTCAAGATGCAGTACTCGGTCAGGTAGAGCTCGGACCAGTACTTGAGCTGGGAGTGGACAGGCTGGCCGCCCCAGACGCGGTCGAGGGAGGGCAGACCGGACTGAAAGGCGGCGAGGGCCAACTGGCGCTCGTTGTCGCGCATGAGGCAATTGGCTCTGAGGTAGGCGGACTTCATGGCGCAGACGCTGGTCCACTCGGTCAGAGTATCACGGGCATCCTGGGCAGCTTCGGCGAGGCCAGCGGGAAGGTGGTCGAGGGCGAGAGTATATTCAGCCACGACCCAGTACATCCAGCCGACACACACACGAGCCTGAAAGGGATCCTGCCTGCTGGCCGTCTCACCGTCGATGGCAGCCTGCAGCTTGGGTATGATGGCGTCAACATTGAGCTTCTCGACGATGGCGGCTATAGAGGGGCGCTCGGAACCCGTTGTCGCACTGGAAATGGCACATTCGGTTTCAGCGGTCAGGGTGAGGCCTGGAGAAAGGAGCAGATTAGCAAATGCTCGTAAAGGCAGCTGAGGATAGGTTGATGGTATACATTCTCTCTGGGGAGCGTGCTTGCGGACTTTGCGGACGAGCTCAGGGACAGCAGCCCAATCGCCTCGACAGCGGGCATTGTCGAGCTGCTCAATGTAGTTGGCGGCTTTGGTCTGGAGGGAGGCGCTGTCAGTTAGCTGGCCATGGGCGCAAGGCAGGCAACAGCAGCTTCGAAATGGCGAGCATGCACATACCGTCATGTTTGCGCAGAGACTCCGACGCAAGAGACTGGGAAGCGCAAACGCAGCTTGCTTATTATGCAGTGCTCGCGTCAGGAGAAAGGGTGTCGGGCGGGCTTGCTTGCTTTGGGTGACGACAGCCTGAAGGAAGGTAGGTAGTAGGTACTAATGTACTGTATGTACAGAGTACCTTAACAGCTTTGGTAGGTACAGGTAGGTGTGATGCACTGCTGGTGGCTGGTGGGTCGGCTGGTCGGGCACGAGGTAATACAATACACGCAGCGGCCTACCACATGGCGACGCTGTCACAGAAAAGGCTCAGATGAGGAGGGAGGGAACAGGTAATTAGTCGGCCAGCGACGAGCCTGGTGATGAAATTACCCCAGAAAGAATTCGGACATGCACGCAATGGCATCTGCAAGGCGGAGAGCCGGGGTGACTTGACTGGTAGCTGAGGGGTCTCGGAGGTACCTGGCTGGGCTAACTCCCTTAGGTGCCTACTAAGGTACCTCCCTCCTAGGTTAGGATCACAGGTAGGTACAGGTATTAGCCGCTACTACAAATTACAGGTCCGTGACAGCAGCGAGCCTCGGCCCCGGAAGAGCGCTGGAGCGAGGGAAGGCGTGGACATGTGTAGGTACTTGGGTTTTTTGTTTCCATTCAGGCTTTTGTGTAACTAATTTTTCCTGTATATATAATTAGTACTTGATTCCTCCTTTGAATGAGACTCAGTACTCTAGACAACCCGAAAAAAGACACTTCCCATACGGAATTCTTCATGTGCTGTTGCCCAGTGTACCTCATGGAGGTACGCATCTTCTAGCTGCGACTACACAGCCAATCAGCGCTGCCATATAACCCCATGGTCCCTGGAACCCCACAACGCTTTGCCGTGAAGAAATAACGTTGATTTGTAGCACGGAACGAGGCAAGAATGGTGACAAAAAAATAAACTGATCCGTCATGTCCTGCTCAAGATCAAAGTTGCAATTCTTTTGAAATCTTCATCTTGTTTTTTCTTTGTCACTTTCATCACCACCCATTCCTACCAAGGTAGAGGTAGCTCATACATCACCATAGTAATCGTGAAAGTGGTTGGCTGAGTGCTGTAGACTAGGTGGGCAGCAAATCAGACCAAAATTATCTCGAGAACCCCCAGTTTGAACAGTAAAGCTCTTACATAATAGTCTCGCGATAAAATAAAGCAGTTATAAAAAAGAGTGTTCACCGTAGGGTGGCGTGCATACTCTTACTCCACATTCGCCAATCGGCTTTATGATTAGTGCCTCCTAAAGGAATAATGCAAAAACTGTACACTATTATAACGTGACAATTAAGTCTTCAAGTTAGCACTTGACTGATAACAACACAGTACCAGAGCGACGAGCAATTCAATATATATACTTGAATAATCTGCTAGCGGACGAAATATCAACAGAGTTGAACGCTAGCAAACTTCTAGATGTGTATTTACTTTTGAGCCCAGCCAATCTGGTTATTACCAGCGTCAAAGACGACATAGGCAGCCTTGAGAGCAATGTCACCAAAGATAGACAGACCGTTGCCGTTGTTTGACTGCAGACCACCGAAGCACTGGCTGCCCTGGGTCGCGTAGTTGAGCAGGCTGCCGTCAATGGTGATTTGTCCGTTGCCCACGCTGAACGAGAGGCTGGGGAGCTGCGCGCTGCAGTCAAAGACCCAGCCGCCCTGCTGGGAGTCGTTGACGGCGCCCGACACCTGCTGGTAGTAGTTGCTGACGATGGAGTCGTCGAGGAGCAGCAGGGTGGTGCCCGTGTCGGCGATGCCACTCACGGAGCTGCCGCCGATGCTCGAGCTGAACCCCCACCAGCCGCGGCTGCTATCGACGGGCGTGTACAGGATGTTTTGCGCCGCACCGGGGATGCCGCCAAAGACGTAGCTGCCGGCCGCGTTGTGGCGCAGGTCCGCCACGAAGAGGGGGCTGTCGAGCTGCGACTGGACATTGTCGAACCATGTCGAGGCCTTGTTGGGCGTCACAGTGTTGAGCGAGCTAAAGGAGAGGCCGAGGAGGCCGTCGTTGTCGCCGCTTGCAAACTGCGACGAGACCTGCTGGGCCGACTCGACCACCTGGTTCGGCACCGTGAGGCCGCCGACCGTCACCGAGTCGGTGTAGACGTCGCCGGAGCTGCCGGAGCCGTCGGCGTACTGGATGGACCACGTCTCGCCGCTCTGCTTCTGCGAGGTCGAGCTCTGGCCGGGGCTGTACAGGCTGTGGCTGCCGCCGTTGGGCGTCTCGGTGGAAAAGACCCAGAGGTCCGCGCTGCCCGTGTCAAAGTCGAGGTTGAGGTTCTGCGCGGGCGTGCCGATGGCGACCTGCACGAGGTATTCGAGATCGCCCTGGTCCGAGTTGGCCACGGCCGTGCCCTGGGCGCGCTTGGCGTGCGCCTGGCTGGTCGTCTGCGCGGCGTTCTTGAGAGACTCCGAGACGGGGATGCCGTACTTGTTGTAGGCGCGGGCCAGGGCCAGGGGGCCGTTGCGGCCGACAAATCTCTCGCTGCGAGTCTGCTTGAATTCGACGACACCAACTTTGGTGCGAGGCAGAGCAGCCCCCGCGGCCATCGAGGCCGACAAGACGGCGACGAACCAGCTTCCGAAGTTGGAGAATTGCATCTTGTATAGAAACTGAGAAAGTGGGAAGTATTGGATTGAAACTGTGCGAGTCCTTGCTAGATCTGCTGTCTGGCTCTCAACAGCTCGAATTTCCTGCCGTATTTATACATTTCTTTTCGAGCTTCGTGGCTCGGCTTTGACCAAACCATGGTGCTCTCAACGCAGTATTCCGATGGTTTCCGTGATTTCAAAACTCATCACCTTCCAAATGCAGGGCAACGGTATGGTGGTCATCCGCACTTGGAAGCTGGCAAAAGCTCGTCAGCGTCAAGCGAGGTAATTCATCACTCCCTAGCAGCAAGTAGATAGGAGACGATGCCACCAACACTAGATTCTCGGTAAAGTGTTTCATCTATTTCACAGCGAATCGCGTGCCAAACTAGCATGGAAATGGCAGCCCACCGGCACCACGGCATTTTCGGGAGGTCTATCACCAGCCCTCGGGATTGCGGCATCGAGCAATAACCAAGCCGTGTTGCCCAGGCAAGCGAGGCCATATCCGCTGAACCGGCATCAAGTCTAAGGTCGGAACGTGGCAGGAAGGGGGGGTGTCGTGGCTATTCTTAGAGCGGAATCGGTACCTTTAATGGGAAAAGTCCCGGCCTCTGGTTCCATTGTTTCGCACAAACCATGCCGTGGCATGGGAGATCTGTCCGGCGGGGGCCGACTTGGCATCAACTGGGCTCATCAACTTGATACCCTCCTACCTAATTAGGAACCTCGCATCGCCCTAGCTGCCGAAAGCCCACCTTCTCTGATCACTTGGCTCGCGACACTGGCGAATTAGACCGAGGTGTTAGAAGAGAGTCCCCTTGGTGCTCGCAATGGGATACATGGGCTTGAGGGCATGGCGCAATCTGGCGCACTTCATTCATCCCGGCCCTCGCACGCGCTGGCGCATTATCTATAGGGCCGGGTAATGAATTGTATGCGCTGACACGCCAGAGCGAGGTGTAAGTTTCTGCGGTGAGATCTTTTCTACTTTCGGATATTCTGCGATCTTTTGCGGTCTTCTTTGGGAAGGCGCTTTGTGGTCCAGGGCTTCGGCTCTCGCTGTCCAAGAAACGGCATAGCCGTGACGAGCCGCTTCTTCAGCAATCGTCGGCAGCATGTTCTAAAGCGGCCTTAGGGATCTTTTTCTGCCTGGTAATGAAGGTCACGTATCGCTATGAGAGGTTTGCGTATTGATGCTACGATTCGCTTCTAAGTACGAATTAGACTTGACGTTGACAGTTTCGAAGTACGAGAACAGACTGTTGCAGAATCATGAAACTCCAATTGTGCCCGAGCTCCACGCGCAATTCAATCTCGACAATTTTTGTGGCTAGCAACTTACAACAAGCTCGCCAGTCCCACAGCAGATACAAGGGCAAAGCACTCCCAAGACTCCTGTGTCGTCGTTGAGAATATATCGGAATGTAATGTAATTGGCCAGAAAAGATATTAAACAGCTCCAGGGGATGGTAGAGCTTGAAGTAGCAGATCGATTAATGATAGTGTAAGGAAGAAAGAGTTCCTGAAACTTGTCAGAAAGCATTAGTTAGTTACTAGTTACGCATGTGGAAGACGAAAGCTTCAACTCCACGTGCTAGTTCAAGAGAACCCACAGCCACATGGCAGCCGAAACCCATCGCCAAGATATAAGCGAGAGATCAAGGCCGAACTCGCCCAGGCACGAAAAAAAGGAAACGAGGACAAAAATAAAACATTCTCAGGTCACGGTGGGGATCGAACCCACAATCTTCTGGTTCGTAGCCAGACGCCTTGCCATTTGGCCACGCGACCAAGCTCTGATAGAGACCAAAACCCGCCGAAATCGCCTCATACCATCAGCATTGAGATATGGTTGAGATATGTTGGCGACCTACCCTGCATACGACACATCGCGATGTAGCAAAGATCTTCTTGACCTAGACAAGGGCCTCGGATGATTGGACTTATTTGGCTACAACCCCTGTGTCGTAATAACGTCGTTCCATCCTTCACTGGTTTGATGACCACCACTTCGTCGATGTGGTGGTCTTGTTAATACTAGTTGCTCCTTCACTACCCTCAGTCGGGACATACGACAAGGCTAATAAGTATACACAAACGTGTAAGATTTACTGGCGGCCAAAAATACAGGATCTACGTGCAGCCACAGCCTCATCAATTTCACTAGAGAACCAACCATTTTTTTCAATGAAAATTCAAGACTCAAAATAGCAACCGGTATACCTAAGTGATTTTCAAGTACGAGAAAAGGAATGTCCCAGAAACAACAAGAGGGTGCCGTGGTGTCATCATCAAGATGCGAAAAATAAAAAAAGAAGACGTTTCGAAAGGCGCGCAGAGATTTCCCGGAATACATCAGACCCAGAATCTCCCCGGCCAAGATATCCCCCTTGCCCTACTTTATCCGTTTTGAAGACCCTCATTTTCCCCTGGTTTCTCGCCTCTTTTTATTCCCTTTCTGCCAATTTTTTTTTCGTGTTTCGTTTTCATGTAGGGGAGGAGACGGAACAGCTCATGTGAAAGCTAGACTTCTGAAGAAGAGAAAAAGACAGAAGGAAGGAGATCGCATCCACAATTTCTCAGCTGTGAAAGACGCAGTTCACTACTCATTGCCCGCTCATGCGAACCACGTATTATGCCTTCTTTTATCCCAACAAACGCAATTCACGTTTGTCCCGTTGAGCCGCAGCGACGCGAGCGCATTCCCTCCGTTGGTTGTATGACCGCGGTGACAACAGAACGCTGTCAAATCAGAAATGCGAGGGATCAGGCCATTGGTCGCTTATTTGCCGAGGCTAGGGAAAGCAGACTCGTCCTTGGTGTTGATGTTAGCAGCAGCAGGATGACCGCCACGGGCACCACGCTCGCCGCCACGACCACCACGGTCGCCACGACCACCGCGGTCACCACGACCGCCACGGTCACCACGACCGCCACGGTCACCACGGTCGCCACGATCGCCGCGATCAGCGCGATCACCACGGTCACCACGGTCACCGCGATCACCACCGCGAGCACCACGACCACCGCGGGCACCACCGCGGGCGCCGCCACGGGGACGTTCGGCCTCGACGAAGCGAGGGTCAAAGTCAACAGTCTGCTTGACCTTACGCTCACGCTCACGCTGCTTCTTAGCACTAGTAGCAGCGACATATGCCTCCTCGTCATTTTCGAGAGCCTTGGCGCCAGCCCACTTCTTGTCGAGCTTGCTGCCCTCGTTTGCCTCACGGACCTTGTGGCCGCCAAGAGCGAGCTTCTTCTCAGCCTGCTGGGCGAGGTAGTCGGCGTACGAGACGCTGTTGTCCTCCGGCTCCGCTGGCTCAGCTTCAGCATCAATGGCGACGTTCTTGTCACCCTCGGCAATAGCCTCACCGGCCTGCTCGTCCTTCAGCTCGGCGTTACCCTCAGTAGAGCCCCAGCCCTGAGCGGTCTGCTTGGCAGTGGTGCTATGGGCGTGATATTAGCTGAAATGCAGCGGATTGATTGTGACCGCAGAGCACATGGTCGACTTACTCTCGGTCCTGACGGGAGTGACGGTCATCCTGTTCACGGGGACGACGGCCGCCACGGCCTGAACAGAGTGTTAGTACCGTACATCATTGCAGAAGCAGCGCGAAGAGCGCCACGAGCAGAATTGGAGGAAGACGTACCGCCACGTCCGCGGGCCGCAGCACCACCACGGGCACCCTCGCGGGGGGCCTCATCGGTGGAGCGAGTCTGGTTGCGAGTGCTGCCAGCGTTGCGATCGCGGAATGCTACAATTTCCGGTTAGCTTCGATCCCCGAAGAGCCACTTGCGCATTGGAATAGCTGTAGAAGCTGCGCGCGGTAGAACTTACCACCCTCGCTACCACCAGGGCCGCCACGACGGTTGCCAGTAGCACCAGCAGCTCTCACGGGAGCCTGAGGCTCGACATTGCGCTTGGTGGTGTGGGTAGTAGCCTTGTCGACAGTCTTGACGGGTGCATTGGGCTTGGCATCACCGTCTTCGTCGTTGCCTGATAATCGAGGGACGGTTAGTAGGCAGGAATGTTGGGATGGCGGGAAGCTGCCGAGTATGCGACGCCTTTGATATCGAATCGATTCCAGAGCGAAGATAAATACTTTGCAAAAGGAGGAGGGAGGAGCATACCGAAGTAGGCGAATCGGTTCTGTGAGACAAACGCACGGGTTAGCTGAATTCATTGTTTTGTAGTTTCGATAGCCAGGTCATGTCGCCAGCGCATCACGCCGCGATGCCGAGCACACACGCGCCAGAACTCTAACATCATCTAGACATGCCGGCTCCTTGGCCCCCAAAATCATGAAACCGATTCGAGGGGATGGCGAAGCATCTCGACAGGCGTTTGGACGGTCTTGTCCGTGGCGTGCAGAGTTGTGGGCGGCTTTTTCTCCCCCGTTCCAGCAAAGGGGCAGTATGTCTTGTGCTGATATGGCGGGAGGGCAATCGATATGAAGGGTTCATCAATGCGTACCTGGGAGGTAATAGCGGACGACATCTTGGTCGTTTTGTTTATGGCTTAACGCCTACCGACGAGGAGCTTTCAATGGCGGGTGGGAGTGTTGACAACGTGTGTGGTGGCAGAGGCAAAAGCGTGATTGGGGATCGCATGACCTTGTGTGGCAGAGGGAGCTGAGGGCGGTCCACTGGTAGTAGGTACCTCTACCTGCCCGGAATCAGCAACAAGCTGCAAATTGGGATGGACGGGGCCCCAACCTGTTAAAAAATTGGGGGGGCCAGCCCTGAAGAGCCAGTGGCAGTGCCGCGGGAGGGGACACGCAGTCTGCGTTGGAGCCTGAAACAGAGCGCTGCCGGCACCTGCAGAGCTCCCGGCTACGGGGGACTAATAGGCCAGAACTACCTGGCGGCCGAGCTTCCTTCCTTACAGCGTTAATCATACTGGGAGCTCCAGCCACTCCGTACCGATACCTTGTTGCCACTTCGCTGGGCCACACAAAACGTCCCCAGCGCGCCCGGCTCTTCGTTGTTGGTCGTAGTAATACATGGCAATTGGGCAATTTACGTCTTGTATCTAGTGAGTGTGCTCGTAGTATTGAACAATGTACGCATGCAGCAGCCTGCTGGTAAAGATGCGTCCGGCCGGATCCTCGCTTATTATTAAATTGCGGCATGCCCAGGATTTTTGAGGTTGATTTTTTATTTTATTTTTTTGTGTCCAAAGTAGGGCTCTCTCGTCGACGCCCCGCAAGCGGTAGTGCTTTTGCCGGTCCGCAAGCAGAAGTACTAACAATCCATGAGGTAGCGGCTCCACTGGCCTTTTAAAGGTCACAACCGATGACAAAGTTCCGCTGCCAAAACCACGGTACACAGTACACATGCCTCAGCTCAATGCTAGTGTTAACTTTTACTGTTATTTATTACCTACCTACTACCTGCCAATGCCTTATAACTGGTAGCTACCTAGGTACCTTATTAGGTACCCCATTGCTGCCTGGTAGAGGAGCCTGCAGCTCTTAGGGGTTCATTTCACGTTTCTCACTGCTCGACACCTCAAGTGCGCGTAAAGTTCCGTTCCAATTAGATATGCTAACAAGCGCTCCTCGTCATACACGTTGGGACCGGCTTGAGTGGATGAGGTTGAAAAACTGGCCCGTTGAGCGGGTCAACTATATCGATCCAGATCAACTCTCGCGGCTCTCCCTCCCAGTCTTGCTCTTGTGCTTGAGCCCGCATGTCCGAATCGCATTCTCGCCCTGCTCTGAGCTTCAGACACGGGTTCTTCTCGCTGCCCCATGTCGAGCAAGAAGAATCATTCATCAGCTGCCTTCTGCGTTTCGCCATACCTCCATCTACAGAGTCCACAAAGTCCACACATGCTTGTATAAGTCCAGAATCGCAATGCTCATTCGTATCTCTTGCTGTCTCCATATCGCAAGCGGCGCAGAGTGGCGGCCTCAGAACCTCTGCCTTTGTGCCCAAAGCCCAGGAGCAAGACGTGCTTAGGACTGCGCGGCTCCCACAGAGTAGACAGCTGAAGCATGCCCTGTGCCAAAAGCACCATCCAAAACTGATGCAGTCATCTCCGCGGCAGATCATCTCCCCGCAGACCCAGCATATCGACAGCTTGACAATAGCAGAGGCGCATTGGTCGCAGGCGAGGCGTGCAGATTGGCCAAGTATAATCGGATATCCAGGCGCTGAGCAATGGCAATAATTGCATATAAACTCGTCGCCGTTTCGGAACCCCAAGGTTGGTAAATCTGTTGTAGGCATCACTATCGATCGATGCCACTGTATTGATACTGCGTAGCCAATGATTCGAGTAACTGCTTCTTCTGCTTTCGAGAAATATGATCAAGGATAGTCGGCTTTAACGAATGCTGCAAATTGGGTTATAGTAATAGATTATATTAGAGGTATGTGAAATCAAATCCGCCGCCGCGGTAAACAAAGGTCGACTATTAGGACCTACCTAGGTAGTTCGCATGCCTACATCTTGGCCACATGGCAGGCAGCATCCACGCACCTAGGCAGGAAGACAGGTTAGAAGCAAGGTGGTAACAACGGCGAGAAAAACACGAGGAAACCACACACAACCACAGTTGAATGAAAATAGATACAATCAGGTAAGAATGTTGAGAAGATGAAAAAAAAAAAAAGTGACGGAGGCAAAAAATCAGTGAACTGATAACCAGTTGCTCCCAGCAGGGATTGAACCTGCGACATTCGCATTACTCGTGATTGAACAGATGCCCAATTATTAGTACGACGCTCTAACCAACTGAGCTATGGAAGCTATTGGATTTTTTGATGCAGGAGAAATGTTTATTTTCTATTAAGAGATCTTCCCCACCACTACATTATAGTATACTTCTTAAAAGTGATGAACCCGTTACATTTAGCAGCCTGGAAAAAGAACGAAATCGGTTTAATTTAACCCCACAGTACTCTGTAATAGAGTCTGTACTTTTCTCCTGTTATTGCATGCCATGCTGCTATCGCCAGCCCTATTCGGTTGCTTGGTAAGTGTCAATCATAATTCTAACGCATGGAATAGTGACGAACCCATCACATTACATTTTTTTCCGTCTTCTGAAACTTCGTATATTTTGAAGGCTTACCGATCTACTTGCAAATTTCTGTTTTTTTTTTGTATTGTAATTCCTTGTCTCGTTGCCTTCACCAACTGAATGTTCTTGATTTGAATGTCGACGGATTACATGCCATTGACTCAGCCATGTTAGCGAGCGGTGTTTGTGCATTTTTAGGCATGGTTCTCCAAGCAATCAGAAGTCATCCGAGGCTATCAGAGGACGAAACAAAACGATCTGGTTATTTTTTCTGCCCTCCTGAAATCCTCAAAACGCCCGCGGAGTGGATGAAAAGTTCTACGTTACGCCCAGCAGCTCTTGTGGGCCACTACACTAAGGTACCTCAGCGACCTCACCGGCGGAAAAAAAATCGTCGCCTGCCATCAGCTTCAACAGCGACACTTGCAGCTTCGTTCTGCACCTCTTCCATCGGGTCTGCTTTGGCGTTCGTCTACTGCTTCAATTGTACCTTTCTGCATCTCAAGCACCTCATACTCCTTTCGTATAAAACATCGAGCCCATTCTGCGCCGTCATTTCCGCGAAAGCTGTCGACTTGGACTAAAGTGGCTTTTCTCATCTGATAGAGTTCTTCCTCCAAGCAAACCACGACACAGCTGCTACTCTCGTTCCCATTCTTCAATGGCGCCACAATGTCCTGCCGATCTGCGGGTTCTTTGCCGCAAACTCACCACCACGCCGCCTAATCTGCTGTCTCCCCAGCTACCCGCTCTCACTCACAACGTTTTGCGCTGCAAGGATGTTCTGTCTGCGCAGCATGATGTTAAAGCCAAAGAAGATGCCTCCACATCAGCTTTGGTGCATAAACTGAAGAGAAGCATCACGACACTGCTTGAAGGACGGAGCCGCGAAGGTCGCTTTGCGGCTACTGTTCTTATCAAGGCCATTGTCGATGTCGGCGGTTGGGAAATCCTCCGTACCGCCGGACCTTGGGTTAATGGTCTGCTGTCTATTGTTCAGGTACGAAGTCTCTATCAACTACTTCCTCCCTGTGCAAATACTAACAACCTGTAGAAAGGAGACCCAATTGCCTCCAAAGAGCTTGCTGTCATCGTCATCACTCGCATTTACATCCTTGTCCAGCCTTACCAAACCCTCATCCGAGAAATCGCTACTCCTACCCTTTCAGCATTTGGATCTGCTTGTGTCCAGTTGCTCAAGGCACACAATTCAACCCCCCCACACGTTTCCGAGACCATTTGCGCGGCTCTGCTCACCTTGATCCCACTCCATCCCGCTACTCTCCGCCCGCTTAGCTCGCAATTGCGCACCGCTGTCAGACCGTATCTCGCGCCAACTTGTTCAGACGCCCTCTTCGTACCTGCTAGTCTGACCTGCGCCGCCAGAAGACTCGTCATATCCATGCATTTCGTTGCCGCCAAGTCTAGCGGCAGCGATGAATGGGGCAAGGTGGTCGATACGATTCTACGCGATCTGCACCAGACGGCCGATCAGGTTCTACGGGCCGTTGACGAGTCGTGGCAAGCTACTAGTGGCTACGACAGAACTCGAGTGTCAACTGACGGTGAGCCCCGAGGAGGGGACGAATCTAGTCCCGAGCAGCTCCCCTCGTGGGTCGGGGTCACGGCTGGAGCCGAGCGAATGGTTGGCCTGTTTTCGTACTTGGAAGAGACATTACGTTGTTCCACGAAATCCACCGTCATTGTCCCTGTTGGTGCATATCTGGACGCTATCTGCCGTGTATGCGTTATTGCTCGACTATCACCAAAGACACAAACTTGGGACCAGGCACTGGACACGAATGCTGGTGTTGGTCGAGATGAGAAAGACGAGCTATGGAGCACTATCCCGAGTCTTCATATCGCTGCCATGTCTCTGTTGCTCACCATGATCCAGCGACTCGATCGCGACATGATCCCTCTTGTACCTGAAGCCGTCGACCACCTCGTCCGCGTGGTCAAATCTGGCATGAGCGTTGCACACATTCGAACCATTGGCTACCAGGTACTGGACCAACTTCTCCGCGTCGCGGGATCTACGATGCCCAAAACCACGGTTGACATGATTGACCCAATTTTGGGAGCGTGCTGTCGCGATCTCCAGCAGGACGCGGGTGTTCTGAAGCCTGCAGAGAAGCCCACACCAACAAGCAAAGAAACCAAGAAGAACGGCGGCAGCGTTGCCGTTTCCAACGTGGACCTCTTCCTGGGTAAGCCGGAGGCCAGTGCCCCTAATACCAATCTCAAGCTTGAGCCCGCCCACAAGGATGCTGCCTCGAGGCTTCTGGCGTCTCTGCTATCATCCCTCACGCAAGCACATCTCAAGCCGACCATGCGTGGGCTCATTGATAAGACTGCCATTGTCACAGCCAACCGTGATGCCATGCTTTCCAGTGTATTGAACCCCTACAAGGATCAGCGCGGTCGCCTGTATCCCAGTATCCTGCCCTATCTCGTCCGACAATACCCCGACGACCAGGGACTCGAGATTCTGCGAAGCAACCTCCGCACAAGTAGCACCAACGGCTCGAGTGATATGTTTGCCAGTTTCCAAGAAGTTGCGGAGGAACAGGAGGAGGAGGAGGAAGAAGAAGAAGAAGAGGCAGATGCAGACGAAGAAATGGCAGATGGTGACATTGCTGGGGCTGATGAAGCATCCGCAGCGACCACCAACGGGGCGGAATTGTCACAGCTGGGTTCGCTGGCGTCACTGCCGAAGAAGAGTGGCGCAGATGCATCCGTGGAAAATCCCTTTGCCGCACGAAGCGGCGCAGCAGACAGTGGATTCTCTGCCGTTGTTTCTTCTGATTCCCCGGCGAAACGCAAGCACGATGGCTCGGACGAGGCAGCGCCGCTGAAGCGCCTCGAAGTTGAAAAGCCTGCGGAGCTACCCAAGGCCAAGCGGGTAGCAGCCGTGGCTGCGAAGCCAGCAGAAGATGTAGACGATGACGATGACGACAGCGATGTTAGTGTGCATCTAAACATGGAGCTCGAGGACGACGACGAGGATGATGAATAAGTACATAAATTGATAGCGGCTGCTTTGTTTTGTATACCAATGATAGACAAATGGTTCACATCTACACATCCTTTCATCTCGCACCAGCTCCTCTAGTATAGATTCATCAATGGGTATATATATATAAACATATCGAGCCTATCTATAGACTTGTGCAAAACAGCGTCTCTCTAATTTATTCAAAAAGCAAGTACAAATGTCAAGCACTCGTACAACAGAACGCCCGGACTAAAGCAGAAACTAGACAAAATCCATCCCAGATTACAAGAACGACAACACAAGCGACCGCCAACGCAAAAAGAAATCACAGAATATTCAAATATTCACGCAACCCGACCCCCATTCCTCTCCCAAGCCTTTCTAGTCACGCAGCCAGGCCCGCCGTTTCTCCTCCTTACGCACGCGCCGCTTCTCCTTGAAGGCCTTGACCTCGGACTTGCTGGGCTTCTTGCTCTGGCGCTCGGCCTTGAGGCTGCGGCCGTCGTGCGCGGCCGATGCGGCGTCAACGTCAAAGTAGGCGTTCATCTGGCGGTGCGACTTGGCCTCGTCGCCGTGCCGCCCGGGGCCCGCGTCTTCGGATTGGAACCCGCCGCTGAACCGGTTAAACGTTGCCGTCGCGGCGTACAGTTCCGCCGCCGCCGCCGTGTCGGCGACCTGCACCTCGTCCTCCTGCGTGCCCTTGGCGTACCACGCGTTGGGGTCGTAGTCACCGTGGATCGCCGGGTTGTAGCCGCCCGCCGCGGGTTCCTCGTGGGCAGGGGGTGGTGGCAGTGCGGAGGCGGCTCCGGCGGCGATGCCGGTGCCGGGTGCGGCGCTGGGCATGCGCGGGTTGTCCCACTGCGTCTTTCCAGTGAAGCGGTTGTGGAAGAACCACGCCTGTGAGTTGGCGTCGAACTGACAGTCCCAGCCGTCGTCCTCGGGAACGGGCTCGCTCGGCAGCGGTGGCCCTCCCGGCGTCGGTCCCTTGGGGAGCGGCGGCGAGCTATCGGCGGCGGGATCTACCTCGCCGTCCTCGAGGTCTTCTTGCTTCGCAGATGGTGCGGCTGTCTCCGTGTGTTTTTCGTCTTGGTCCTCACCAGAATGTGTCGCCTCCGCGCCAACAGGAGTACCGTCGCTGGGCTCCGCGATAGATGCGCTCTGGTTTGATGGGGGCGCCGCATTGGATTGATCCTGTGCGGCATTCTCCAAGCTCCCAGTCTGAGCTTCTGGGGCCGGTGATGCCATTGTCGGAATGCTGCGCCGCGTTGCGGGAGAGGGCGAGAAAGATCAGCGTGGGGTACGTCGTCGTCGTTGTTGTGCTCCTGTGTTCATCTGCAATGGTGAGCGTCTGGAAAAGCAGCCATCGTTCTGATACGTGGGCACCTGTTGACTAAGAAACAGAGAAGCTACAATTGCAGTTCTGTTGACTATAAAGCGTGCGGTTACGTGTGCACAGTTGCGCGTCGCGAAAGCAGCGAAAAGTGCTGTACGGTAGACTGCAGGTTTCACTGCCCACGGGCAAAATAATCGTCATAGCTGTTGGCTACTAGAAGCGGCAGGCGGTGAGGTGGCGTCAACGCATCACGTGCGACGAACTATCTTGCTCATGTTTCACTCGAAATATAGGTTACACTGCGTACATTCTGCGTGCGAACATACCCGACGAAGCTGAGGAACCGGTCAAAACAGTCAAAACATTCTCTGCAAATACACGATCCTCGCCCCGTTCACGAAACCATCCTCAGGGATATCGTGGCGCTAGCATGCATCAATCATGACCTCGACCGGCCAACTCATCTCGATTCCCGCCATACTACACATCCAACCCTTGAACTAAGTAGTTAAATAAGAAGCCCTGCTCGTCATCCTTAAGCATCAATAGCGTCCGCCCTGCTGTTGCTGACGGGCCGTGGCTGAGTCGTGCACACGGTATGGCCGCCAAATCTCGGGCTACCGCGATCTAGAACGCCGCACTGCGCCTCTCCCGCGGCCTCACAAGCAGTGGGCAAGGTGAGATGAGGACAAGGCAATACCTAGTACCTCAGGGCATATTTTTTGGTCACCTAAAATCACTAGCGACGAGCCCCATCGCCTCCTAGCCCGCTACTTGCATACTCTCCCGCCTCACGATGCCCTCGCGACAAGTAGCCGCGCTGCTGGCGACGGCGTCCCTCTTCGCAGCTTCAACAGCCATCGAGACCGTGGACGGCTCCAGCTGTGGCTGTTTTCTCTCCAATGGAACAAACGCCGGGTACTATACCAACCACGCCTTTTTTGACTTTCGGCAGCTGTTGCAGCATGCTGGCGTGCCCGACGTGATTGACAACAAGGCCAACGTCGCGTCGGCACCGTCCAGCAGCAACTTTTTCACGTCTGATGCCTGGACAAGCTTCTGGGAGGTTGAGACCTGGGACAACAGCAAGGGCGCGGCGGCGAGCGACCGCAACAAAAACACTCTGTCCAACGACGCCACCGTCTATATGATCAACTCGCCCAGCAATATCTACATTGAAAAAGCGGCCAACAGCAGCTACGGCAGCGGCGACGACAACGCCGCCACATTCCTCACCATGCGCACCAAACGTCTCCGGGACTTCCAGACGGCTGCCGAGTTCCAGACCAGCGGGGCCGGCTACCAGTTCCTCTCGCTGCGGATGCGCGCGCGCACCGTCGGCGCGCCCGGCGCCGTGACCGCCATGTTCACGTACCGTGGCGACGACGACCCGGCCAAGGTGCAGGAGGCCGACATTGAGATCCTCACGCGCGACCCGCGCTCCGTCATCCAGTACACCAACCAGCCGTCGGACCTGCCGGGCCAGGGCGAGATCGCCGAGGCCACGCGCAACGTGACGCTGCCCGGCAGCGTCGCGTGGTCCGACTGGGCTGTCCACCGCCTCGACTGGACCCCCGAGCGCAGCGTCTGGTACGTGGACGGACGCGAAGCCGCCAGCATCGCGTTTCAGGTGCCGAGGGACCCTGCGGCCGTCAACTTCAACGCCTGGAGCGACGGCGGTTCTTGGAGCGGCAACATGACGGTCGGCGACGAGGCGAGCCTGCAGATCCAGTGGATCGAGATGCTCTACAACACTACAGGGGCTGGCAAGCGATCGGTGGCCGGCGCCGGTCAGGAACCGAGAATAGGAGGTGGTAGCAGGGCGGCTCGCACAGGCGGGAGCCACGACACGTGCAAGGTTGTTTGTACAATTGATGATGCGGCAGACGTCGGCAAGGTGGCCTTATTGTCAAACAGCACAGGGGACAGTGCTGCTTACAGTCTCCAAGCTGCTGTCGGACCTGGTCAACTGGCCTTTGGGTGGGCTGTAGCAGCGATCTTGTACACGATCTTATGATATTTGTATGTATAAAAAAAATGCATGAACCATGTCCAGCCCAAACTCCATGTTAAAAGTATGACAATCGTAGAAAGAAAAATAGAATACATCCGAGCCTTCAAACCTACCCAGTCCTCCAACGCATCAATTCCTCTGTGAACCGACATCTAGCTATAGTAGGACTACAACTATTCTAGAACCGATATTGTTCTGTCCACTACGTCTCTACACAGTCACAACATTTAGCATGTAGTATATTATTATAGAATGCACCGCAGGGGGAACTGTAAAATCATCGGCAAATCCAGCCGACTTCCATCTCGCGTCATGGGGTTTTATCGCCATCCCAGTTGGCATCTGCTACCCTAAGTCCTTTTGACAGGACTGGTGGTTTGTGTGGCAGTCATATCCACCCTCTCTTCCCATCAGCAATCACTAGATTGCGCTGGTGGGAAAGGTGAAGACGACTTTGGGCCGAATTCGGCGAGTAGACATGACAAAGCTAATTGTCAAGGTCCGCCAGGACTTCCAATTGCATTTCAGCAATCAGTGTGCTCGTGTGGGATGATTGACTCTTTCCTGAGAAACGCAGTCCAAAGTCAGGTCCCGCAGAGACTTCCCTAGCGCTCGCAAGCTTTCGCCGGCGATGACTGGGAGTAAAAGTCCAGAGGATTGTGTAAAAAGGTACGTTCCGAAGTTCCCTCCGAAACGACAAAAGAAATGCCCGGGGCATCATCATCCAGTGAGAACCAAAACCAAACACTCCAAACACCGGCCGTTGTACCATAGTTACCCATTCGTTACCGATAATGTCGTTTTTCGTAGATTCCGCTGTGCGCCGTAAAACACCACCGTGGTACACGCTCATGTGTGACAAAACACTGCTAGTATATTCAAAATAGTCTCGCTAAGGGTCAGTGTGGTGCCAAGCAGCAAGCCTCGGAGCAAGCTCTTGTAATCCCGTAGACCGCGATAACTTTTCATCTCCGTCAAACGCCAAAAAAAACAAAGATTTTTTCTCTTTCTGCACGGCGCTGTCGATAAGCATGCCGTGAGAGTGTCGTGAGTTTTGCCCGTGTGGGGTGGGCTGAGAGGATGTTGTGAAAAATGTTCACTGGGAAGCGCTTGGTAAAGCCAGCGCCGAAAAATCGCTCCATTGCTGAACAAGATGAACAAAGGCAAGCAAAAAGTCGTATTAAATCGATGGAAAAATCAGTGTGCTGTAGGTGCCGAGACAGCTGGGGTTGACAGGACAGGCTGCCATTCCCACATTCGGAGTGGGGAAATGCACATGCTTTGTCCCTAGTAGGCTCAGATCTGTCTTATTTGATCAGGGACTGCCTGGCACTGCATGTCCTAGTCAGTTGCTCATAAGTGAGAGTACCGCAAGCGGTATGTCAATTAGGCTATTCTGCTAAAGCGCCGTGCAACTTCGAGTTGGGCGGAGGCCCTGTCCATGGCATGGAAACTCCGAGCTGGTAGGTGCATCAATTTGGTGTTGCGCTCATAATCGTAAAAGTCGTCTCGTTTGGGGTGCAGTTGAATCAGAAGACCACCAACTTCGTCACAGCTTGCTTATGTCACACCTTTCGTTGGTGACTGGAAAGCATTGCCGGGTCTGACCAAGGGATTGGCGGAGCTTTATCGCATCGATGCAGACTGTTCGAAGGGAAATTGTTGGGTTGGGAAGTTCATGCTGGCGCTGAGACCGAAAGGATCCCAATCCATGTTTTGTTCCAGAAGCTGGCTCATGGAAGAAAAGCCCGGGCCCGATCCAGGAATCTGGTGGCTTGCGGTGGCAGAAGTGGGCGAGACAATCATGCTGTCTCCACTACCGAAGGAGTGAGGGTAAGGCTCCGTGTGAGCTCCATTGTCCAGCTCTGAGTCTTGCATCATGTCGGCGTGCTGATCATATTCATGCTCGAGCGAGTCAAGGTGGCTGTGGAAAGTAGGGGTAGCGAAGAAGGGGCCTCCAGACCCGACAATGGAGCTAGAACGACGCTGCATGATTGGTTGGGCTGATGCTCCAGTAAGGATTGGAGGCATCTGTGAGCGAGAGCCACTACCGTGGGGAGTTTTGATAGCGGTATTCTCGGTGGTTTGGGAAAAGGCAGAGCCTGTGTTGTTGAGGGGTGTAGGATGAGTATTGGGGGATGTCTCGGGTTTGATGCCGCTCGTAGCAGCAGTGTTGCTAGCCTCAACTTTAGGCGCAAGAGCAGACACCGACTTGCGAGCACGGTTCATGATGGGTCTGTGGAGAGGTGGAGGTTGGACCATATTCTGCGGCATGTGGCTGGGGCCAAGGGTTGGGCTGCCCGTCTTGGCCTGAAGCTCGGCATGGACATCGATGCCCTTCTCCAGAAGGATGCGCTCGAGGAGCGAGTTCTTATAGCGCAGCATGAGGCACTCATCGGCAGCATTGCGATGGGCACTCTGCAGATTATGCAGGTTTGTCTCGTGGACCTGGATGGTCTCCTCGAGCTGCTTGATGTACTCGGTGCGCCTCTCGCGGAAGGCAGCCTGAGCTTGTCTGTTTCTTTGCTTGCGCTCCTCAGAGGTAGCATAGATCTGCAAAAGCGTTAGTGACAGTAGAGGCTCGACATGTAGGCTTGACTCACAGGCTTGCGGCCACCCTTTCGCTTGGGCGGCACGGGTTCTGCGGCAACGGGAGTGATAGGGTTCCGTTCACCCTCGGGGGTAGAGCCGGCAGAGTCCTCGCTCTCATCCCGCTGCGAAGGCTGGGGCTTGCTGTCAATGGACATTTGGGCGGAGGCGGCCATACGTAGATGGTGTGTTTGTGTGTTGCGTGTGGACGGCTGCCGTGCAGCTTGTTGTTGTTGAGCGACAAGGTGGGAAGACGAGTGCAGCAACAGGCAGAACAAAGTTGACCAGACAACAAGACGACGGGGTCATCTGGATGCAGGCACGCCAATGTAAGTCGAATCAGGATTGATAAGACGAGGTGCGTCTGCAGACAAGCAAACAGGATGAAAAGGGTAAAAATGAAGTTGAAAAAAATAGTTAGGGTGACTGGCTGTGATGGGGCCTGAGAGAGAAACGTGGTGGGTGGGTGGGAAGCGGGGAAGGCAGGAAAGCGGTGGTTGAGCACGGCAATACAGGTTCCGGCTACGGAAGCAAGGAAAAGGCGGCTTGGGGCAAAATTTGCGGGAACTTGTGACCTCGCTCGCTTGGCTCCTTGTTGTGGTACTTAGTAAGTAATAAGGTATGGTACTTATTATGGTACTTTGGTAGTTGGCGGGCGGCAGCGGGCGACGTGCTTTGCTGGTTGGGTGGCTGAATGCTGGTGGGTGTGGTGGATTGTCGCGGGGGAGAAGGCGTCGGTTGTTGAAGAGAAGTAGTCGTGTATCAAGGAAGCAGGGTTCTTCTTCTTCTTCTACTTCTTCTTTGCCGCTTCAAAAGTGACAAATGTCGAATGTCGAATGTCGAATGACGAGCGAGGACCAATAGCCTTGTCTGACAGATAGCAGATAGCAGTTCCTTTACTCTGGGGTTGTTGCAGAACCAATGCTGGGGAACATTGAGGAACTGGGGGAGGCGGCCCCGAGTCTTTTATCATTTTATGTAATGGGAAGTACGGGGTACCTGAGCTTGATGAGTAGCTGGAGTAGCCCAGTGACCACCAAGGCTATTAAATTGTTCGTGGCACTTGTGGAGCGGTCACCAGCATGGCCTGAACTCTGCCCCATCCCGTCCATCCATCCATCCATCCGTCCATCCATCTATCCATCTATCTCTCTATCCATCCCATCCATCCATCAATAGAGTGGCCAGGTGGCCAGGCTTTCCATCCGAATTCCCGCCGATTTTATCAAGCCTGACGCGGGAGAGGGAGTGACGGGCCTTCACAACACTGCATCGTACACGGCATTATACGTGCCTCTTGACTCAAAAACCCGCGGCGCATCCAGGTCTTGGTTCCCTTGGATCCAATACTCCATAATTGGAACCCCAGGCTGCCCCTCTCGAGCACGCCGGAACCACTTTGACCACTTTGACCAAGATGGGGCTGGCGCGGCCCCGGTGGCGGGCTTTGAGTCGTTAGCTTGGACGTCGTTAGCTTGGACGTGGCTGTCCAGGGGGGGTGGTCCATGGCTTTTCTAGCTTCCTTCTTCCTTCTGCCTGCGTTCGCATAAACATGCTCAAGCTCCTGCAGCAGCCTCCCAACCAACCACGCCTTGTGGACGATACGATACGCCAGTGCCTCGCCCAGAGCTTCTTCTAGAGGCCAAGCTAGTCACGCCTTTTCCGCAAACCCGCCGTATTCTTGCGTCTGTGTGTTTGGTGCTCGTTAGTCAAGAGTGACCATCATGAAAGGCAGCATAAACTTGGCCGCCAAATAACACAGCGTATCCGTACTCATCATTAGGAAGACCTTCTAAGTACGAGTTGGTGCTGACTGCTTCCCACTCGTCCACAAGCCACCACTGTAGCTTTCGAAGCTTCTCCCCACCCCATGCGTCTCCGTACTGTACATGTAACTATGTATGTGCATCTCCTACGCTATCCATCCCCCAGAGGTTTTTGCCTCGTCTGATAGTCCCGATAATACCAGGGGAGGGTCGGTCTCTTCCTCGCCTATCCTGTCAGGCTGATACTAACTAAAATCTCCGGGGATAATTTTCCCTTATTACACAGAGAAATCAAGTGGACTTTTGGAGACGCTCCGCAGAAGGCTATTAGTGCCAAGCTAGACTCTTGAGCTCAAAAGATCCATTTGACGCTCTACTGAAAGAGGGAGGTTGCAGAGATGGCTCCGGTCCACAATGTCCAACCCCTACTCTGGAAAAGGCAGCCGGATAGGATTTATTATCTGGGTGACCTCTTTTGCAGACGGTATCTCTCCTGTTGATCAGTCGTGGGAGATTGTACGAAGTAGCAATTGAGCTGAAATTGCTCTTGATAGGCATTTGCCAAAATCATTTCTTGTTCCCAAATCTGTCGGCTGTTCTCTGATTGGCTAGTAAATAGTTGTAGGCTCTGGTATTCATGTTACTTCTCTCTCCTCTCTTGAGTCTCCAGCAACCACCAGAAGCCGGCCATCTAACGGCTTGCTCCTAGATACATATGGAGCCCACATTTTATTAGTCTGATACTCCTTGATCATGTTCACATACCGATTTACGGAAGCCCACGGCGACGAGCCGGTCTGGTCTCGTACCGTCGTACGACAGCCAATCTGATTCCTCTCACCTAACTAGTTAGTTAGTAGACCCGGTTTCAGCATCGAGCCTCAGCTGCGCAGATCCAGAGGCTCTGTACAGATTAAAGAATCCTGGTCGCTCATTTTGTCCAACTACTGATATCTGTAGTCCAGGGAAAAGTCGTTGTATTCATGATAGGTTATCTCCATGGTCGTATGCAAGCCATATGCCCTTACTGTTCTCTCAATATGCGACCGCTCGCTGCACTGCAATCAGGCCTGTCGCGATCCTCGTTGCACTGCCTGCATTGTCCTAAGCTTCATTCAGTATCGCGCAATGATGCAATTTTGCCCGGTAGCTCCATTCTCCAGACCAGATGCCGTGGATGGCTTTCCGACGGACCCAGGCAGACGCTTTGTGGTGGAGTCTGCCCTACTTGCCGCCAGGCTCACCTTTCAGACTAAATTATAACTTGCCTCGAAACTTTTGCTGTCCGTTGATCTAACTTTGCTGAAGCCACAAGATTGGCCGAACACTGACGTTGCAGGCTCAAGTGGCTAATAACTGAGTCCAAGTCTAAGCAACCTCGGTCAGCCCTGCTTAGAATTGGTGACAACGTAGATCACTCAGATGTGGCAAGCATTGCAGTAGTACGGCCAACTACTTTGTGTGGTTGGTGGTCAGAAGTACTCCATGATGCGCCCACCCTCTCATGTCGGCGTGAGATAGCCGGGCTTTGGCCCTCTGCAAATGAGCTGTCGGTTTTCCTCACTGAGACTCTGATCGGTCCAGTCTCTTTTCGGTCTGGAAAGTCGCTGGGACCACTGTCGTATCATCGTCGTAATCTGTAATGGCCGGGTCTGCGCACAACTCATGACTCAGCTCAAACATCGGCTTCATTTTAACTTGCCGGGACGGCCTGCTTCTACCCAAGAGGCACCTTCTTATTTGGGAAATTTCGTCCAAAGTGACAACTCTAGTTCTCAACTCCCTAGCTGCGTGACCAGATTGTGGACTGGGGGCTGGGCTGGACATGCCTTGGTGGCGGTTTCCAGGCAAGCCTCAATGTGGACATAGGGCGGCGAATAGGGGAAAGAGGTACTTTGGACTGGTATATCTTGACGTTGAAGTACATAGCTGTAAGAAATGATAAGCTGAGTCTCGGCGCAGCCGGTGATCGCCCGTATTTGCCCCTGCGAGCCGCACAGAACCTATAAACGGTCCTCAACGTCGATCGAAACATTGAACGGAATGTGGCGCGAATCCGGGAAAGGGCATTTACTTTTCTTAATCCGCCATCGGCGTTCAAAACCTGTCGGGTCAAGTAATTCCTATGGCTCGTCCGCCTGGTCCACCCGAATGATGGGTGCCGATGATCAAGGCGGCTCGGCACTGGTGCATACCATGCGGTGCCAAGGTGCCAAATGACCAAATTCCTTTTGTGAGGCGGAACTTGCCACGTTATGGTTATCGCTCATTGAACGAGAGCTTGTAAAACGAGCTCGATCGTCCATTCATCAGGGTTTGAGGTTGACTTGTTGTCGTAGACCATATACTACATAGGTAGTCAGCGAAGAGACGCTGCGTTTACCTACCGGAAGTCGTATTACGTCTCTTCATACCACAATAAACGCACTCGCGACAGCGGTAAGATGGTAATGAGGAAGCGAGCACAGGAAAGTAACGGGCGCATTAGTCAATGTTGTACGTGCAATACACACTGTCAGACTGACACGATCGCATCGGAATAATGCTGCATAAACAATACACGTCAAACACCCTTCCCCGCAGCTGAGAGATCCGGGGTAAATAACGATTAATACTTTCTGTTTCCGCGTCGATTGCGATGAGGTGTCATTGTCAGCTTTGTTATACGTAACAGAATGTCAGTGCCAAGATGTGGCCAGAAATTATATACTGGGCCGCTGTTGCGGGCCGCTGACAGGCAGTGACAGCTGCTCTCGTAAGGCTGAGGGAGTCGGATGGTAAGTTTTCGAATGCAGCAGCCTCTTGTCTGCGAGGAAGGCGTGATATTTCGATATGCTTGACCAAGAAGCCATCATGTTCTCATGTTGCGCTGTTTGAGGTTAGATTAGTCAATGCGCGTACGGTGCTAATATGGCAATTTACATACTGTTCTCTTCGCAATTCGCACAGTACAGCGTTTATGTTGTCCCTCCGTGGAGCTTGGGCCCCGAAAAGTAAACAAAGCGCCCCACTCACGTCAACAAACCATTACTCTCCTACACGCTCCCCGGTTGACATCATACCAATAACGTTCATGCTACAACATTCCACTACAGGCCCGTTGAGCTACTCCACGTCAATCTCTCTCGGCACTTCTGTACAACCTCGTCAACTTTAGGGAGATTGTCCTCTGCCAGCACCATGTCTCCCCTGAGGCGCCGCTCTGCACGCATCGCAGGCACCTCGAAGGTGATTGATCTACTGACCGCTTAATTATCGACGAGGTATGCTAACTGAATGCAGAGTACCCGAGCAGTTCCCGAACTCCTGTCTGTTACTGAAGATGCCGAACCTGTTGCGATGTCGTCGCCCCGACGCTTCATTGCCAAATCACCCATGCACGCCCCTTCCACGCCGCCATCGTCGGCGATCAGGCCACCTCGTAGCGAAATGCACCCCAGCAAATTTCACCAAAGCACCGGAGAGCCTTCGTCCGCAGTAGCGCTTGGATTTACCGATATAGATGCCTCGGATAGGAGAACCACTGGTGCTGCGTTAACCTCGACTCCGTCGCGGTCAACCGGCATGCCGACATCGTCGTTTACCTTTGAACTGGCGACATCTACCCATGGAGGCGCCCTCAGCAGTGATGCGAAAAAAATCATGGAGGAGCTGCAAGAGAAAGCCGCCAAGATTAAGGTGGAATTGGTCGCTCAGCGCGAAGCCGAAGGGATTGATGGAGTTTTTGGCGACCGCCGCTTCGCCAAGCCAAAGAGCCTCGCAGGTCGTTACAGTGCTGCGCACAACGCCGAGTTTGAGAAGATGGATTCCATTCAGGGACATGCTTCTGCTTGGAGAGCAAGCCGATTCACGCCTGTTGTGGCCGGTATCAAACGTTCGTCATCCAAAGCCAGCCTCACTGAGTCCCCAGGCAAGACAACCGATTCGCCTTCTCCCCAAAAGACAAGCATTTACAATCACTTGTCTCAAACGCCAAAGAAGAATTTGAAGCGCAAATCCTCGGCTGCAAACCTGGATGGAAGGAGTGGCACAGATTCAGCCAAGAGAACCGCATTGGCTTCTTCACCCATCAAAGCAACAGATCGCACTCCCGTGGAACGACAACCCATGAAGAGAGTCAAGCAGCACAAAGAGGACGACACCTCAACGAACAGACCCAAAGTTCCCACGACCCCAACTGCTCCGCGCACCATTGCACGTCCGCAGTCGACTCTCTCGCGCTTGATGAGCCCTACAAAATCCTCAAAGATGCATCGCTTGGCTAGTCCTACCAAGGTGACAACTTCTTCGGTGCCGACGCCGACGAGACTGCCGACCAGCGCACGCAAGCCAACAATTACATTGGTCTCTACCCCTTCTAAGCCATCTGCCAGCCCCATCAGAGTGGTTGCGCCTCCAACGCCGAGCTTTGCACAGTCGCTTTCTGCCAGCAACTTGACTTGCAAGGCCGACGGGCTCGCACGGCGAATTCTTAGCCCTATGCGCATGCAGAAAGTCAAGTCTATTCTTCGCTCACAGTCAAATACAGACTCTGCATCTGCGAGTGCCATCCCCCAGCCTACACTCTATGGATCGCATACCCCTGCTCCGCCCCGCCTTGACAAGGAGCTGCCGCCTATTCCTTTCACAACTCCTCGTCGTAAGCTGACGAAGAAAGTGACATTCACACCTGAGACTAAGCGCGCAGCCGTGGAGCAGAGCTCTCCCACACCACTCAAGTCTTCCATGTTCAGGTTCAGATCTGCTTCTGGACCAAGGAGCACCCGCGACGTGGAGATGAAAAATGCTGCAGCCGAGCGTGGCGGCCACGTTGCCTATCCAGATTTGTCTGCGTTCAAGGCTCTCATTGCCTCAAAGGACGACGATGGCAAAAAGCGAGTACCTTCTGTGCCAAGCGCGTTTACCTTCCGTAGCGACCACACGATTGAGTTTGGCAACACCCCCAGGACTGGATTTGGCGGCTCGGTTGGCCAGTCAAGCGTTCGCCATGTTAGACAGTCGCTCAATCAAGCAGCAAGTTTGCCAGGCAGCTTTCCCGCGCTGCCTGCTCCCAGCTCGCACCCCGATAAGGAAAACACTGCCCCATCATCGTCCTCCAAGGTATTGCCGGGGATCTTGCATGGGCTTTCGACCAAGAAACGTCACCGACCGAGCACCGATGAAGAGGATGCGGAGAGAGAGGCGGATGAACGGGCTGCCAAGAAGCGCAAGAACAGCACGAGCGGCCCTGAGCGGCCGGCTTTGTCATCCGCCAGACCTATATCTTCAACGCCGCAGAGCAGCGCCAAGAGAGCACGGCTGGATCGCCATGTGTCTCTGACACCGAGCAGACAGCAGATGAACAAGACTCCGACGGCGACGTCTGGATCAACTAGCAGCCCGGCAAAGAAGAAACAAGGCATCAGCATGAGCCGCCTGCAGACACTTGCTCGTCCCAAAACAAGGATTTGAAGAGTGTATCTACGTACACTGTGTACATTTATTGTTGGTTATTCTGCAACATTGGATTTATGGTTTCGGCTAGTCTGCCGACTGGACCGCTCTGTCAAGTACTGCCGTGTAAGGCCACATTGATGGCCCCGGACTACGTTTACTTGTGGTGTTTGGTTTTGTTTGAGGTTTTAAAAGCGGGCAAAGGATACGGTATCGGCGTTTTGTGACTTTAGGTGTTGTTTATGTAGTCAGAATAACACTGCCACTGCCTTTAGTGGCACTGCTTCCAACAGCTTTTCCCAGACTGCGATCTTTTATGATGTGGCTATACATACTATGACTCTGGGGATAATCGCGTTGATGTATAGGTACATGGATATCTCTTTCTGAAATGGTTTGACTCGCAGAGCCTAGGCCTGAGCGTGCCTACTGACATGGCTCAACGAGCCAGTTCTTCTGGTCAGGCCCTTTGGTCTGTTGGCAAGGCGAGGTATCACGCGACGGCAGCCGCCATAGGAAAGCCGAATAGCACGTAGTAGCCGAGAAAAGTGTGTACAAAAGCTATCTACATGGTCTACCCGCTCCGTATCGCCGACCGAAGCGCATCCCGGGCTCCTCATATCACCGTGACTCCGGATGAGGCCCACCCACCACACCACCGGGCGGCGCTTTGCAGAATTAGGCTCTACCAAATCGATTGAGCGAGAACAAACCGGATACTCTCCGCTGAATCCGTATAAAGATGTCTACATCTGGTGCTGACCGCCAGACCTCACGTCGACCATATTTCGCTCATTCGACATTTCTCTCTACCTGACAGACACCGTCCCTCTCAGCACGCCATCGTCCACGTTGCTGCTGCAGTCTCGCACTTCATGGCAGCTCGTACATCCACAAAGCGCCTTCTTCGCGTCTCATCAGGACCAATGTCAAGCCATGCGACAGCCTCAGCCTCACCACCCGCGCCCGTAAACGCGAGAGCCACCTCAGGCGGCCCCCCAAACCCAGCCCACAACCAAACCATCAAGCTCCCCGACGGCCGCGCACTGGGCTTCGCCGAGTACGGCGACGCGCGTGGCCGCAAGACGCTGCTCTACTTCCACGGGTACCCGTCATCGCGCGTCGAGGCCAAGGTGCTGGACAGGCTGGCCCGCGCGCACTCGATCCGCGTGCTGGCCCTCGACCGCCCCGGCTACGGCCTGTCGACGCCGCAGCGGCCGCGCCGGGCGCTGCTCGACTGGCCGCGCGACGTGGCCGCCTTTGCCGCCAGCCAGCGCCTGGACCGCTTCGCCGTGCTGGGCACGTCGGGCGGCGGGCCTTTTGCCGTCGCCTGCGCGCACGCCCTGGCCCCGTGCAAGCTCGCCGCCGTCGGGCTCTTTGCCGGCGCGCCGCCCTGGGCCGCCGGCCGGCACCTCATGACGCGCGGGCGCCGCGTGCTCCGCGTGCTGGCCAACTGGTGCCCGGGCCTGCTCGGCGCGGGCGCCGCGCTCGCGCTGCGCCTCGCCCGCTGGCTGGTCGGCACCCGCTGGGTCACCGCGCGCCTCGATGCCTGGCTGGTGCTGGTCAACCAACAGGCGCGCGACAAGGAGGCCGCGAGGCGCGAGGCGGATCCGGCGGCGCGGCCCAGCACCGTGCTGGCGCCGGATGACCGCCCGGTGGCGGAGCAGCGCGCGGCCCTGCTCAACCTGCTGATTGGCGAACCGTTTGCGCAGGGCTTCGACGGCGCCGTGCAGGAGGCTCGCATCCTAACCGACGACGACTGGGGGTTCCGTCTCGAGGACGTGGCGTTTCGTCACGCGCCGATCAAGATCTGGCACGGCACCAAGGACGCCAATGCCCCGATCGAGGCCATCCGCTATCTGGCGGAGAGGCTGCCCAATGCCGAGCTGCACGAGTACAGCCAAGATACGCACTACACAATGGGAGACCACATTGAGGAGGCCTTGCTGGATTTGATGGATGAGACAGACAGAGGCGAGAAGATGCCATGATTGCATTCCCCCTTTTATGATTTTACGACATTGGCTTCTGGCGCAATATTGGGATAACACCACTCTTGAAGAAAGATGTTGCCGCTTCTATACGGTTCCATGGGAATAACTACACAGCCTTGCAAAAATTCAAAAGTTTTTAGATTATGATATAATGACTTGGCAGACAATTCTCGCGAGACATGAGACAATAGGAGGAGCAAGCGAAGTAGGTACAGTGGAATAGAGAACAACGATGGCTGCTAGGCGGGCCGAGCTGGTAACGAAGCCGACATCCATCAATGCAGCGGATTGAGCGAGGGATAGGAGTATAGTACGCAAATTCATTGTGATCATGGGAACGCCGATACCATTGTGAGCTACAACTCCTCACGGCAGTCAGTCAGTGGGGCGAACTCACGAGTGGTAGATGACATTCAACGCCGAGCACTAATATACAATAATGTTCTACAAGTGCACGCTAAGTGCACGCTGGAGTTGATGATAAGCAGGGTATATTGTCTACTTGAAGCAGTAAATGTGCAGAAATGCTATAGAGACATGCAAACCAAGCCATTAATAACATGTAAAAGCGTACATTCAGGCTACATCCGAAATTCAATTCACCTTCCCAATTCTTTCCAACCAGAAGCATACAGGACTCTCCACCTTCAACTAACCAAGACGGTTCAGGCCTCGTGGTCAACGCGCTTCTCGGGGACGGCAATAACATCCTCAAGCGTCTCATCAGAGAACTTGAGATCCTCCTCGACAGAAACGTGGTCCTGGATGCGCATGAAGATGACGGGGGCAGCGATGAGAAGAGAGGCGCCGAGGCAGCCCCAAGTGGCGCCGAAAATAGTGTTCAAAGGCAGCTGGAGGCCGTCCAAACGCCAAAAAATGGCAGCACCGGCAGACTGGATACCCTTGTAAAAACCAGCCAGATTGGCGGCCTTGCGACCAGAGTTGGACAGCGCACCCATGTACCAGTAGATGCAAGTCTGCCAGATGGCGTCGTACATGCCGTAGAAGAAGTACAGGAACATGGGGCCGAGGAACTCGCCGCCGTCGGACCAGTCAAGCTTGGGGGCCTTGGGGTTGGCAGCATACCACTGTCGTGTAGGCTGGGCCTTCTGCCAAGCCCAGCCACCACCCCAGATTCCGAAGGTGCAGGCGATGAGGAAGATAAGAGACAAGCGCGCGCGCGTAGAGCGCCTTACGCCCTTGTAGTCGAGGGCGAAACCGTTGATAACAGCACCAACAATTTGGGCAAGCCAATAAAGAAGGCCGTTGAGAGCTCGAGTACGGGCGTTGAAGGCAACGGCGTTGACACCGTTGTTCTGGTAGGTGTAGAAGATGTTGGAGCAGAAGAACATGGGGAACAGCAGAAGAATCCAGGGCTGCTGGTACAGGGTGTCCCAGAGACCGCGAAGCTCAGACGCCCAGGTAGGGTTCTTCATCACAATAACCTTGCTGCCGTCCTCACGAACAACCTTGTCGGCGTTGCAGAGGCCGAAGGAAAGCGCGGCGCCGATAGCCATTAGGATGATGAAGGCGACGTAGACACCATCAGAGGCTTGGTCAGAAAACTTGTCGTTGACAGCCTGGGCGAGAGGAATCTAGACGAACTCGGTTAGACGTGATGCGAGCTGCAATACAAGGCAACTTACGAGAGATCCGATAACACCACCAAAGTTGAAGATGATCCAAAAGATGGAGATGTAACGACCCTTAGCTTCCTCGCGAGGGTAGGCCATCATGATAGCACCTTGGGCGCACCAGAGAATACCGGCGCAAACACCAAGGAAAGCACCAGCAAAGTAAACGAAGCCCTCGTTGGCGGTGTGCTTGTAAGAGAGGAAGGAAGCGGCATAGATGCAGTAGCCGATGCCACCAAAGGCAAGAGAAGGACGGAGACCGAGACGGTTGGTAATAGTACCAGCGAAGAAACCAAAGACGGCAAATGTGGAATACAGGGCGACACTGCAGTTGGCACCGACGTAAGCCTTCTCAGGCGGGAGGCCAGCGCCACCAAGACCGTTGAGGGCGTTGAACATGCCAGGGCAGAGGAAGCAGACGAACGAGATCATGAGCAGCTGAACCTTGGGCGATGCATACCAAAGCTCCATCTTGCGGCCAAAGGGCGTGAAGCCCTTGTACATCCAGCCAGCGGGACGAGCCGGTGAGCCGACGGGGCCATTGTCAACGTCGTCGACGTTGTGAGCAAACTCCTTGGAGTCAGCCGAGTGCTCGACGGCGGTTTCCTTGCGGTCGTCAGCCATGATCGACGGTGTCCTATCGAGAATCCGGGGTATGTGGCTCCTGTGAGGGGAGTCGAGGATGGGCCTGGTAGAAGGATGGACGAAAGACACGAGAGCAAAGGTGAAGTTGGAGGTCGGGGGTGAGACCCTTCCTTATACTCCAAAAAAGACGGGTGTCTCACGGGCGGGCGCTCACGCGACGAAGCTGGGGGGACAGGGCTAGCGCCACAGTGCGGTCTCTGTTAGTAAAGGATGGAGAAGCAGAAGGAGGAATGGCAGGCAGCGGGCGCCTTGGTGGAGAAGACAAGTGGACAGTGGAGGGTGGTATCCGGAGAAGAGAGGCACCAGGGGCAAAGTAATTGCAACAACAACTGGTGTCTGGTGGCTGACCCTTGGGGGCGTTTTGATTGAGTCTAGCCGGTTATCTAGGTGCTGAATGGATGGACGGGCATCAGCAAGCTTATTTAGCTGGGACTGGGCTGATGTATGGTAGGATGGACGGTTGCTCGTTAGATGGGGCCAAGCCGTCTCGAAGCCCAGCCAGCCTGGTGCGCTTCTGCAGGTGAGGCTGCGATAGAGGATGGGGCGAGTCAGAGATTCTTTGACGGCGGGAAAATGTGAAAAGGTGAAGAGGTGAGTGAGGTGGGAAGGTGAAAGAAAAACAAAGCGGAAACGCTCTTTGTACGGAGTTGCTCGCCCAACGGTTGACAGCTGGCAGAAATGGCAGCCGTTTGCTCTGGCTATCCGTGCTCATTACTCATTCATTACCTTGGGTACTTTCCTTTCACAAACTCCTCCATCAACAATCATATCAATGCAGTTAATATCGACCCCAGCCACTTATCTGCTGCCAATAAACTTACCCACGCATTGCCTCCGAGGGGGGTGCAAGAATACGGGGACCCGCCAACCTTGGAGTTTTTTTTTTGCAGCGCCCCTATGACCGGACGGGGAACCAGTCTAGGCCAAGGGCGAAGACATAACCGTTCCGCCAATGGAAGCTAGACTGCGAGGATAAGCAAGCCCCGGCTGTTGCTAGAAAAGGGCTGTCTCTGATCTATTTTTGCAGGTTGTAACGTCGAGTCCAAATCAGCCACCAGCACGATAGCCAGCAACAGGGGTCCCTCGCTGTGAGCAACGCTCTGCCAATATGGCAATGAATGTAAAACGCCAACCCGGTGCCGCCCACCGAAACGCTAGCGAAAACGAAAAAGAATCAGCTGTTGGTGACATGTATTGACTGCAGGCGACCGTCCCGTGAGCCTTGGCCCCCGGTTGCCAGGCTACGCACTCTGGCCCATGGGGTAGTTGCGCTCTCTTCAGCTCTCTTATTATTAGGAATAATCCCCCGCACCGACAGGGCTCCGGGCCAACCTTCCAGACACGCGGACGAGGGGAACTGGGCCTGCTCTTTGGAACCACTGGAGAGATTGGGGAACTGGGCCGACCCCAGACACACAACGCTACGTGACAGCGGGGAGCAACCACGTTGGCGTCTTCAGCCACCGACTGGTTTTGCCATCGACAACTGATACAGCGATAGAAATCGTCCAGAGTACCTTTTGGTCATCTCCATCGCATAGGTAGGCTTTGATTGCAACAACCTGTGATAAAGTACAGCCACACCGGTAATTAAAACGCAAAGCTGCTTGGCAGCCTTCCCGTATTGCTGCTCTCAGCACCTGTCCGCAGCCTGGAACCGCTTGGTATGAGCCCTCGCGCTCAGTTGTCGGATTGCTGCGAAACGCTGAACAAGGGTGTGGTGTGTAAGTGCTCAGATTTTGACCTGTCGATTGATCAAATTCCAGGCAATATTACTTTATAATTTAGGTTTGTTGACACGCGCCTGACCCCAGAAAGTATGCTCGTCGCCTCGTTTGTAGCACGTTTCACCGTTACAATCCGCGAGTCATCACTAGACCTAGTTGCCGGCTCTTCTGGCACTCGTCTTGATAGCATTTACACGATAAAACAACGCCAAGTACCACAGCGACTGTCTCTGAGATCAAGCCTGACCCGCAGCGGGCCACAGGTGCGCTGAAGTTCGGCTGTTCGCCTCGTTTTTGAGCCTTGTAACCCGGCCGCCAATCATCAAGCTGGCACCTTGCGCCTTGTCAAGTTTGATCACTTCACTGGGTGCTCCTTGTATCAAGGGCTCACATGAGAGAAATGGCATCGCCAACACTTCACGCCAATCAAAGGGCAGAATCTCGCGTCCTTTATTGGCTGCTCGACACGCCGTCCACGTACAGCATGGCTTTACGATCGTGGCGCCTTTGATACACTTGCCCTCTAGGTGGCGTCGCGATTATTTTCCGTCTCCACAGCCACTGGCTTGCCTTCCTCCTATGTAAACCCAACGAAAGAATCTAGAGAACAGAATTATCACCAGGAGCTCTTCACAATGCAGCACCACAGAACGATCGACCAATACATCAATACACATGCGACACCGCTTGAGGCATGGCCAGTCCAGTCCATCTCTCTCCCACAGGGCGCGCCGAGAATGGCGTTCGGCCACAGGTCAGCTGGTCGCCTTCATTTCCATTCTCTCCCACCCCGTTGTCACTGTGGCTGCTGCTCCGGGGTCGCTCTAGCTTCATGTAACGTAACCTTGCCGCCGGCTAACAACGCCACACACCGCCAGAAACAGCCCACTTCCGGACTAGGAGTTGGTCCACTGTAACGGAGGCGGAAGATCTGGGGAACGGCTTCCGGCATGGCAAACTTCGACGCGTTGGCAAAAGTCGTTGGGAGATAAGGCATCAAAGACGATGTGTGAGTACAAGTCACCACTCTGGATCGGGAGCCGGCAGGATTGCAATAGCATGGTAATCGTCGGCCGTGGAGTTGGCTCACACCTCCGCTTTTGCTGCAACGCTGGCAGAGACCAGCTGTCCGAGGTACATATCTATCCCTCTATCTATACTACAATAGCACTTTTTGCCTAGCCGGTGGAAATTACAAGCCAGCCGACCAGATAACCCAAAATTCGATCCTGCTCGACTAGCCAGCGCAAACTTGGCGGCTCGAAAGGGGGGCTTGGTGGTCAGAGTCTACGATACTAGGTTACATTCGACCTCGTACGCTGATTGCTGTTCTGCTGGCTGCAAACGCCAATTGCTTCGCGAGGAATGTCACTTTGGCACATTGAAGTGTTCCCCAACCCACCATGTAATCTCTCCTGTCCATCCGCTGCAGCGGCGGAAGTCTCCGGTCCCCCCCCCCCCCCAATGTTCCCCATTCGCGGCGTCAACATCCGGCGGCGAGCCAGCCGAGAATAGGAACAACAAACTAACTAGTGACAAGAGACGCTGCCATTCATCCGAAATGGCTCCCGTCATACCGAAAAAAAAAAAGAGGCTTTGGCAGTTATTATGCGGCTCATGTACAGAGATTAACTGCCACACACACACACATACATGGACGTGAAGAGAGACAGCGCAGAGAAAGCCTCGGGCCCCGCATGGTGCGTGAAAAATCTTCGCAAAAGGGCAATATCCTTCTTCGTTGTTACTTGCGTCTGTAAGGATCCCGTGCCGTTGCAGTGTTGGGTTGTTGCTCAGCGAATCGTGGCGTACGAGGCGCAGGGCCATTCACCTCTTGGCAATTCACAACTCGATCTTTGCTTCTTTACGAATAGACTACGAACTAGGTAGTTATTTGACATATGCGTGAGTGCATTGCTCCTTCTGCTTTTCCCCTTCAAGTTCACGCAAGGAAGCGGTGGCGTTCCGCCGTCGACGACATGAATGCGCCCGTGGGTGACATTGCAGCCCATCCGCAAGGTTTTTAAAGTGATATCATGGCCTGTGTGTCGTACAGCAACAGAATGAGAGGATTGGGGGGGCAGAAACTCGGATCTTGCTCTTTCGAGGAGGCTCTAGTCGTGCAGCAAGCCCACCTTGGCGTAGTGGACGCGCTTGGTGTGCAGCGTGAGTGAATCGCGATGCACAAAGCTCGCGAAGCACACAAGTGCAGGCTGCCGTAATTGGAAATATATATACTATTTCTCGGGGTCTTGATTGAACAACAAACCCCGTCTTGGTCAAGGTAGCGCCAGGGCAGCCACACAACAAATCCGCTCGACAGCGACTATATCAAGACAGCAGCTTCACGGACAACATGTTTCACTTCAATAATATGTACTATTTACAGCGGCGCAGCGCGTACAGCGACTCAGCTGCTCGTGTTACATACAAATCTCCTTCCCATTGGAGGATCAGCACAACGCCCTCGTAACAAAATGACAACTCGTGACTGAAAGAAACTTTCCACCAGATTGCTACATCATGCTCCATGCAGAAGACATTTGTCAAGAAGAAAAACAGTGCCCACTCCCATTTTTCCAGCAGTGTACGGTTTGCCCGTCTCTCGTCCTTTAAGCACATTGAATAAGATGGTAACGCATTTCCTCCGCTGCTCATATCAATAATGTTCTTGCGTTCGTTTCTTTGACTGTGATGCCATAAGAATCCGTAAGGAATGGCCGTCCATCCTTCCTCCCATCACCGAATTTTGGTTCCGTTGTACGCCGTTCCAGAAGAAAATGAAACAAAGGTATTCGCAGATCGTGTGCCCAAAATAAAACGAAAAGACTGTTGTAGCGTTGCGGCAATCATGTCCGCCTTTTCGCTGCTTGTGTCGTACAAGACAAAATATATCCAGAGTCGACAGGGTAAAATATAATAACAGAAAAATAAACGATCGAGTAAGAGCCGGGGTATCAATGTCGAAAAATAAATATCAATGAAATAAATGGTGCATGTGCGATGAGATGAAACGGCCATGTGCTCCGTTTCGAGTCTGATGCGCATTGACGGCGCTATCAAACCTATGCTGGCGTCGCGTTGTGATGATTCCGGTCGCGGATCATCCAGCCGAAGAGATCGCCCCGCGCAGCACCAGTGGTAGCGACGGGCGTCGGTGGCTCCACGTCGCGGCGCACTTCGCGCGGTTCAAGAAGAAGGCTCTTGCGGTAGTAGCTGACTTGGACGTTGCCTTGGTCGTTTTGGCGGACGCGGGCGATTTCGGACGTGATCCAGTCTTGCATGTCTGGGAGCTCTATCAAACGGTATGGAATTTGAAAACGTTGCAACTCGCCAATGATCTTAGCCGTGCGAGTGTGCTTGTCAAAGTTCACAACCGTCAAGCCTCCAGTTCCATCGTCGACACCCTCGGTACCGAGCGACATCTGCTTGGTCGCAGGGTTGCCAATATCCACAAAGGTGAGATCAGTGAGATACATGCCCAGGAAGGGAAGACAAGGCGGTACGTGGTCGTGTAATCTAGTGCGCAGCACCTTGTTGTTTTGAGAGGGCTCAACAGTCTGCTGCAGTGTTCGTAGCAAGTCCTTTCGCTTTGGGGAAACGGCATCCCATGTCTTCCGTAGGCGGTTAATAGTACTGCTATTGAGACTGCAGATAATTGCCATCAAGCCATCATAGTTGTGGAGCAACAGCAACTGGTATGCGACTTTAATCCACTGTTTGATGATGTTGGCACGCTTCTTGATTTCGACATGTTCAAGAATGGTATCAGCAACCAAGTTTGATAGATCCGTCGAAAGCGAGGACATCGCTTTGACGTTGGGCGCCTCCACACCACCCTTCTTCATCCACTGAGAGCCTAGTAGCTCTTCGGGCATAATGGCGCAAAAGATGTTCATTTCTTTCAATGTAATCTGACGGGCCAATTCGACAGGCTCAAAGTCGAGGATAGTTGGAGAAGCAGTACCAGCCTTGAAAGCGTTGA